CTTCTTCTTGTCGCTCGCAACGCGTACCGTTCGAACGTTGCGATCGTTGAGCTGATAAGCTACCACGCCTGATAAGCCGAAAAAGGCTGATGGTGGTGATAAAGAGGTTGCTATAGAGTTGTGTGTGTGTTTACTACTTGGTTGTTGTGGTTGTGGTTGATTTTAGTAATCTGGTAACTGGATAGTCATAAATCGCTACCACAGGTCATTTTCGGAATTGCAAAAGGAACAGAGCAAAAGGACATTGGCTGGTCATCTCCAATCTCCAGTAACAAAACTCTCGCTTCAAGCTCTGCGCCCGAATCGAATCGAATCATGACATTGTAGAACTAGTACCAATACCTTGCTAGCGGTTGTCATACCGGTACGGTAGTATCACCAGCTGAACCAGCTCAAATCCTCGTTTCTTTTTGTCTGGTATTCAAGACATCAAGACACTCGTAGCTCGTACTAGTAGGATAATCTATAAACGATGAGACGATCCTCATTAGACTATCAAGAGTCCAGTCCCTTTGTGGTATTCTTTGGAACACACCTCTGCCCGCCCTACTACCCTCCCTTCTATTCTTCCTACAGTATCCCATCGATCGGCCGAGGTGCAATCAAGATCACCTGGAAGCTGGCTGGAAATGGACAAAAGGTAATTGCTCGTTCCTGATGATGATTGAATACCCAGTTCTTTGGTTTTTGCTTGGAGTGGTAGCACAGTAACACTATAGCCAGTCAGTGAGTCATCAGCCAGCCATTGACAAAGATTTGGCTGAAGATTTTTCACTACTGTTGTGCGTGGCTGTCGACTGTAAGCTTACTAGCTAGCAACAAGAGAGCCAAGACAAGAAACAGGCAGATTGTATGCAGGCCCATGCTTCCTCTTTGCTTCGGGCCGGAAAGTGGTTGCCCTTCTATAGTAAGCAATGCTGCAAGGGACGGAATACATACATCATGTTTTGCGACCGACCTGCCTTGGGGCTGGCCAGACCACCTTTGATTTGAGGTAGATGAGACAAGAGTTTATTCAATGTCTTTCACTCTACTATCATAGATAAGCCCACTACCAGGTAGTAGCCCACCCTGGTAAAAAATCTGTCTTCCAGCTTCCAGCCTCTACGACGAATCTTAGAATTATTCGAACAGCCAGTCGAATGATGAATCGAATTGAATGATTCATTTCGAATCGAATGAATCTTCGTCGGTTCAAAGATTCGAATTCGGATGTCTCTGAAGTTCGCTTCATTCGAATATTCGACTTCTTCATGTTCTCTGGCAGATGGCACATGTCTTTCCTTGACAGCTGTTCGGGCCTGCTCTACAGAAATCGAAAATCAACTGCAAATCGGCAAGACCGCCTTCATCAGCAACAAGCCATCACCGCATCACCTTGGTCAAGAGACCTTGTGTGTTCACTCCTGCCCTGGCTGATGTTTTTTGCTTGATGGATGTGTGCTTGTTGATCGATCATTGAGAAGGCAACAGACATCATTTTTAAAAAGCAGATCCAAAGCACCCGCAAGAAGACGAGCAAAAGAAACAATCGTAGAGAGCAAAGAGAGCAGAAACAAGAAGAGATCCGTTGAGTTCTTTATTGGCTTTTTTTGGTGACACCAGACCGTACCGACGGCAATAGCACAACCATGTTTGTACCAATCTTGGACGACGAGGAAGAAGAAGAGCTGCACCACCAACAGCCGCAGCGAGAGTTTCGTCCGGCATTTGGCACGATGATGGCTCGAGTGGTGAAGATCAACAACATTGTGTTGCTGCTGAGTCTCGGTGTGGCAACCTTTTGTCAGTATAGTACACTGGAACCGGAGTATGTCAACGCGCTCATGTGGGCCAAACAAGCATCACAAGATGGAGCATCGCTGCTCTCGACACAATCCATGATTCTGCGGACACTGCAATCGTTTCTGTCGGTGCTGTTATTGACATTCCTCCGAACCGTAGTCTTTGCACGGCAACACCAAGACGAGGCGTCGACGTTTCACGCTGTCTTATCCGACCTGCTCTTTCACATTCAATGTCGATTGGTGATTGGATTCTTGGCATGTTTCACCACGCCGTGGATTCCCTTTGATTTGATGGAGACGGCCGTCGTCTGCATCTCGCTTTCGACGCAAATCACAAAATTGGCCGTTCTGCAATAGGAAGAAAACCCAAACAACAAACCATGCCATGGAACATTGCTACAACATTTGTAGCATCAGTGATGGGGGTGCAGACAGGAATGCCAAAAACACGACAAGTAAAAATCAGATGGGGAATTCATCACTACCGGAAGCCAGGAATCGCGCCAACAGAGTCTCCTGACTGGTTAACCAGGATGCAAGTAGTGAAGAAGCAGTGAACGAACGAACGAACACAAGGGTTGGGAATGCCTTCCTATCGCGTGAAGCAATCGAACCAATCGAGCAAGCAATCATTTCTCTGGAGCCGTGGTGCCTGTACTAGCCAAGACCTTAGAACCACTCATAAACGTAATTCTTAATAACAGTCATACTTTTTTGAAACGGAGACAGAGACAACAAACTATTAGAATATTGAGTCTTTGCTGCCTTCCTCTGCACGGTCCGATAGTGGCAAAACGTACCATACATGTTCGTGAAGCTGTTTGCTGGATTGATTTAACGTGTGGAAGGCGTTGATGCATGCCAACCGCAAAACAAACACTGAAACGACCCTCGCTTACGGCGCCACTCATGCAGTGCCAGCAAACTATTAATAGATAAGGAACGTGAGAAGGTCACACACAAGAACAGGCATTATTCAGAGCTAGTATAATAATATCAAGGTTGACCGTGCCCGACAATTCTATCTAACTCCAGCCAGCTCCTTGCTTCGCTAACTCTTTCCCATAACAACAAATCCTGTTTTTACGGAAGTAACTGCTAGCTAGAATAGTATATCCATCACGCTCTTCTTCTATTCTTGGCCCTATCCTCTCATGGCATCTACCGTACGGTACTAACGGTAGCTAGAAGATGTCTGGGAACCAAAATCCAGAGCTACCGGTACAGCAGAAGCCCAACACCAGCCTTACTCGTACCGAATGAGTTCAAACATGTCATGTTCCTTCTCATTCCTCTGCATCCTCAATACCGGTATAATCCAAGCAAGACAAAGGATGCTTCATTGGGATCCAGAGTAGAAATTGCCAATTGCCTGTAGCTCTCGCGGGTAGCTTGACTTTTTAAAATAATAGTTTGCTTTCTGTTATCTGAACCAAGTGTTGATGCTGACACTGGTTTCGACAGTGGCAACATGATGATACCATTTCTTGGGAATGTAAATGGCATCCCCTGCATTCAGAGTGGAATGCTGCACTTGCAGATTGCTGTTGTGGTTTTCGTCGTCAAGACTTGAGGGATCCCACGACGACGTATTGGGTTGGTTACCGGGTGGCACGGGACTCGTGGGAGGACACAGAAGGAATTGTTTGGTGCCCACAAATTGCAACAGCAGATTATCGAGAGGATCGAAATGCAATGGTGACACACATCCATGTGGTCCCATCCAAATCATGGTACTGTACAGTGACTGTTGTTCTCCCAGTGTCTTTGTGAGAGATGGAATGTCAATAAAGGGATGAATTTCGTCAAATAAATCATTTTGTGCCATGTAAATCAAGTCGGTAAATTGTGGAAGTTCTTCTGCTTGTGATTGTGATGGTGTCCGCCCAAATCGATCTTCAAAGTACTGCAAGTATTCCAGAAACTCTCGAAAGGGAACATCCACCGTTTGACTCTTTTCCGAAGCGTAGTTGCCTCCCAGTTCGACATGACAATCGGTAGACTCGTCCACGGTTCGTTGCCAAAAGTCCCAATTTGGAAGCAATTCCGTCATGGCACGTTGGTTGGTGGCATTATTCGACAAGAGATCTCGCAGCACCAGTGGTTCTTGGCGTTCAAAGTACGGACGAACGGTATCTGTAATGGTGTCATCTGTATCCTCTTTCGTCACTCTGTATTCAGCCAATGCTTCACCATGTTTGGATGAAGTAGTAGAATAGTAATGTCGTAGATATCTCTGCACTTGTAGTAGCACTCGTCTCCTCACCAGTGTTGATCTCATGGTCTTCTCTCCTTCCTTCCCAATGATCTTTGATTTTGTGTGGATGGATGATCGGAGGGAGAGCCAAAGATATCGGGATTGACATTCGTGACTGCATGAGTCCCCAGGCACGAGACCGTCAAATCCGAAACAAAAAGACTGTGACTTCGAATTCTCTTCGCTCTTTTTTTCACGACTTCTGACCTTTGCCCCTCTCTCCTTCTTCTGATCTCACAAGCAAAGGTTGGAGCGCACAACTCTTTCTCAACCTTGCAACAACACCCCATCCACCATGATGACGGGACGACGCCTCGTCTTGGGGCTCCTCGCAACGTTGCTGTTGTTGGCCACCACCACCGAGGCCATTTACCCGGTCGGTCATTGGGACCATTGTACGGAGATTACCAGTTCGGAACAACTCGATACACTCATCGATTCCACACTCGAAGCCGGTCAAACACTCTTTGTACGTTGGGTCGCATCGCCTCAATGAGGATGATGACGCAAACAGGCGCCGGCGTGGAATCATGTCACCAAGGCGTTTGCGGGGAACAACAATGTTCGATTTGCCGACATTAATCTTAGGGAAACACCCATTCGGGGACCACCCTACAATCCCGGACAGGGAGGATGGCCCACCATTCGGTATTTCAACAATGCCACTGGCAAAGAAGGAGCACCCTATCAGAAAAAGATGGCCGATCTACCCATGTGTAAGGAATTGGGTGATTTTGATAGAATGACGGCGTATATCGAGGAGGCTGGCAATACCAAGCTGGAAGAAGGAGAAGACAGTGATGACAGCGAGAGTGAAAGTAGTGAGGATACTGCTGGAGACGAATTGTAAGCAGAGAAACGACAATACAGCCACTGGATTTGGAAGGATCATTCGATTGAATTCATTCGGAAGAAACCTCTCAAGGATTTTCATTTGGTGCAGTACTGTACTGCTTGGGTTTCCTCTTGTAGAATGACATTGTGAGAGACTTTCATTTCAATGGAAGGACTGTCATGATTGAAGAACAATATGAGAATGCCAAATCTGGGTTTTGGAATGCGCGATGCACCCCCGCACAAAGCGCAAACCAAACTGGATAGCATCTCGTACAAGAGGGAATCGAGGAGTGTGTAGTGCCAAACGAAAATACTAGAGATTGGTTCTTACTTAGTTAGGTAGGCAGAATAAATACATTGTAGTGAAACAGGAAAGTTATAAGAATATTACAAATTGGAAAGTATTCGAAAGCTGGAGAATAGTAGAATATAGTAATAAGAAACAATGCAGCACATCACAGCAGCCAGCCAGCTGGCTAGGAGATTATCCTCTTGGCGTGCTTGTTGTTCCATGTGAATTGCTCCAACAGGGCAGGACCGTCTTTGCGTTTGGAAACGGACACTTGCGTCGGGAGGCTTCCCTTTGTTGGAACCCTACTACTAGTAGTACCACCATTCCGCATGAGAATGGACGGGTTCAAGGACAAAAAGTGGAAAATCACGTCCACGTCTTCCTTTTGACGAATCAACGTGTCCACCCACACCTTGCGATCGGCAAAATCACGCACCAACCGCTGCCTCTCCGCGCGGTTCAATCGCAAGTAATAGTCAATGTGAGGATTGGTCCAATCCAAACCTTGAAAGGTCAAAAACTTGAGACTCGTATTCACCTCCAGCATGTCGGTAAAGACCTTGGTAATGGCACGGCTGCTATCACTGTGCAATTCTCCTCCCCAAGCCCACACATCCAGGCATTGGAGGGTCGTATTGCAGTGATGCAGTGCCGCCGCAATCGGAATACCGTAGGCAGCCTGACCCAAATCCAAATTGATCACTTGCAGAGTCGTGTTGAATCGCAGCAACTCGGCAATGGCATAACCGGCTCGAGCGCCCAGTCCATGAGAACGAATGGTCAATTCTCGCAGAGACGACGTTCGGGTGCTATTCATGAGACACGCAGCCATGGATACAATGTGATCATCCGTCATTCCGGGCATGGTCTTCCACCAGAGCTTTTGCAGACTCGGCGATTTGCACAATTCTCCCAAGTACAGACCGGTGTTACCGGAAATGACAGTTTCACAAAACATGGCTTGCTGCAGCGTGGACATGGAGGAAATGGCTTGGACCAAGGGTTGCAGCGTCATTTTGGCTGGTTCGGGATGATTCTGCTGGATGGTTTCTTCGGTACGACACCGTACAAGATCAATGCTGGTCAAGCGAGGCAACTTTCGTAAGGATTGCGCCAAGGATTGCATATCCGCGCAGCGCAATGCGGCAGTAGGAGATGCCGATGTGAGAATGACATTGCCAAGTCTCAAGTGCAATAGATTCGGAGGGCAGTGCTGCAACGCCACCGTCATGGCCTGAACGGGCAAATATAAGCCACCAAATCGACCGTCACCCGAAACTTCCCATCGTTGGACCCGTGTCAACCCACTTAACGCTTGAAACACGGATAAAGATACGGCATCTGGTATCCTTCCAGCATTGCGAGACATGGCACCCTTGACAAAGACTGATTCCACCACAGTTGGAGGTGTCGTGATGAGACTGTCAATATACTTTAAAATATCTTCGGGACCTGTTCTGGCAATGTCATCCAGCATCAGATACAGGTGAGTGCCACGGAGATGAAAAGGACGATTAGAGGATACCCCGTCATTTCGCCAGGAAGGATGATGTTGGTTGGACATGGTACGGTAGCACTATCTATCAAGCTGCTAGTAGGTATTCTAGCTAGCGTAGCTCAAAACAATGCTAATGTTGGCACCTACTGAGTGTGCAATTGGTGCTACACCAGTATCTTGGTGAGGGCTTTACAATCGGAACAGCAGCAAGCTATTCGGACGATACAAAGATGGGTGAGCGAGGATAAGAACAGTCGTGTGCGGAAGCTTTTTGTTCTGTACATTCCCGACAGAACTTCGCCCTTCTTTCAAAAACGTCATTTGAGAGTCCAAAAAATCTGTGTGACACCGTCTCTGCAGACACAAGATACAAGATACCGATGTCCTTGGTGCCGCCATAGCGCCTGCATACACAGGAGAACATCAAAAAGAACAACACCAGGGATTCCAACGTGGTCCCCCACCGTAGTACTAACCTGGCCCGACGATGCTTAACTTCGCTGAGCAGACGGGAAGCGGTGCTGTCATCGTGGTATGGTCGTTCCTGTCAACGTATGTGTCACGGACAACTACAATACCAAACAAGCTGTGAAACTTGTCGCTTGACCATTTCATGGAAGCCCTCATCGAGAGACCCAAAAGAATGGCGACCGACAGTCTTGTTATGGTGTATCTTACGGTTTGTTCATCCCACTGCTTGCGTCTGTGATGGTTACAGGGAACGTATTCTTCTTGTACGGTAGCACATCTACGTGCTGGAGACCTTGAAAAGTGGACACGACGTGGATCTGTCCGAGTCCGCCATGTAGTCAGTCTACTGCACAATTTAGTCTCTTTTACGGAGCAATAGAAAGAAAGACATGCACGGCTTGTTTCCAACTGCAAACTACTTTAGCTCTACGCTGTACCGGTACTGTAGAACCTAGCTACTGGTAGTAGGTGAGATACCTCTAAAGAAAACAACAACCTTCGAGCCCTTCATCCAAGCAGTGCTTTGTGCCAAGATCTGGTCACTACGAGTTGGCATGCAGAGCGGGGAACAGTTTGCTCCACAGACCCTCGAGCAACACAGAAATCTCGTTTGTTCAGTCGCCAAAGACCATCTCTGGTCAATTCGGTAACGTCATTCCACAAAAACACATGCTGGATGAAAAAGACACAGCGATCATCGTCACATTTTCAAAGGATCCCGCACTACCTCTAGACTTCCACATTCTTTCTCCATTCTTCCTACAATTCCGTGTGATGAGTGGCCAGGAGTGTTTTGAGCAACCTCTTGCGAGTTTCTTTCCAATCCAAAAGATCTTGTTTCATGCTGCTTCCGTCCATTCCTTCCAGACGTTTCAATTGTGCAGCTTGCTCCTCCTTGGACTTGGCCTTGAATTTGGCCATGTACTTGGCCGATCGTTCATCGCATCCAGATCCGTCGGGGGCACACAAGGCAGTGTTACCCGCTTCTTCCACATAATCCAGCATATTGTCAAAATTGCCCAGTTCATCACACATGGACTTGTCCGTCTTTTTCTGATAAGGAGCTCCATCTTTGCCCGTCTCCTTGTTGAAATACCGAATGGTGGGCCATCCACCCTTGCCAGCATCGTAGGGTGGACCCGAAATGGGGGCTTCCGAAAGAGTAATGTCCGCAAAGCGAACTTGTTTGTTCCCACTTTCCGCAAACGCCTGAGACGAAACAAGAGCAAAGATTTCATCATGAGTTAGATGGCGGTATGATGATTTAGTCAAATTTCCAAACTGCTGGCACTCTATAGCATACCTTTGTGACTATTAGATAATGAGAAGAGACGAACAAAAACAGCAGACGATGAAGAAAATAGATTGAGAATTTCACAAGAAAGGGAATCATATACCGGTACAGACCACAATCTAGCTACTGATGTACCTTTGTTCCACGCAGGCGCTTGCTTTCGTCATCAGCCTCATCCAGGGCTGGCAATCCAACGCACAAACAGCGTGTCGTCTGTCTTGAGCGTATCGGCGACGACGGCCTCGAGATGACCTTTGTCTGTAATCTTTGTAACGTAATCAAAGTGACCGTCGGGATAGATCGCTTGCACAACATGGCCTCCTAAGAGGCTGCTGACTACTCCCAACACCAGCAGCAAGGCTGCACGGTGGCGAGGGCCGCCCCCACGATGTTTGCTCATCATGGGTTGCTTTTTTCCACGATTATGAAAGCTCGAAATGCAATTTGGCGTTTGGCGGAAGGAAAGGAAGTGCCAGAAGAGGTTGAGTCCAATGAATCGAATGAATTGAGAACAGCCACCCGGGCGACTTCATCACTTTGAAACCTAGAGCGAGAACATGATGATCCAGGGCCCATATCGCATGAGTTCGCTTCAGCTTTAGTCGAGGTACCTACCAGCACCCTTCGATGAATGCTGAAGAGGAACAGCCCAAAGAATCAGACACGAATCCTCTATGCTACAATGTATCTTCCGGTGTTCTATGGAAGCTACGGTACGGTCGTACCGTAGTATACAGCCGCAGAGGATACGGAAACAAAGTCGAGTAGAACGAGCACGATGAAATAAATGTTCCCTCGTTGGTTTCCCGGGGGGTAACAGGGGTCACCGCTCCTTCAACCACTCGCTGCAGCAAAAGGATTATGTGTTTCAAGGACCGTTGTTCAGCCTTGATGTGAACGAAAGTCGTTGAAGAGATGAAATCCAAGACGTCCACAAGGGAATTTTCGAAAGCTTACATTCCCGCGCGTTGCTTGACTGGAAAGGAGTGCCCCATTCGTCGACATTGGCGACTAAGAATACGAACGCGACGAAGAGGGTGCCATCACTATCATGTGAGCGAGCCATTGGCTGATCCGGGAGCCTCAGATTTGCATTGGTCATCGGTTGTCAGAGCGGAGTGGAGAATTCATATTGCCATACGACGTAACAGCAGTTTCTCGTTGGCATGGCTCTACGCAATCCGTTCTTTACAGAGACAACCCAAAACGTGGAAGAGGTGCGTCCTTGAACGCCCATCTGTTCCGACCGTACCGTACGGTACCGGTACCGGTACGACAGCTCCTGCCAGTGACAACGCTGCACTCCATTTCCAATGTGAAAGACACTATCCGGAGGTTTCACTTGCAAACTCGCGCTCTTTTAGATTGGACACATTAGATTCCTGAAGGACGACCAACACGGAGGCTTCGCTCCAAATTTGCATCCTGTCATCCCTACCGCCTACAAACTTCATGCAAGCTGAATGGTCACTCGCAAGTCTTCTTGGATTGCTGCAATACTGGTACCGTATCAGAGATGCTTCCATTCTTCTTCCCTTCAATGCACCGCTGCCAGTGCACAGTGTTTGCTTCGAATTGAATGAACAGCTAATCAATAGAATGCATGGGTGTCATCAAACCTCGGGCGCAGGAGCTCTACAGATAATTGGGACAATCGACTGAGTACTACATGACAACACTTCACGTACCGGTAACAGGTGTTAGTACCTGGTGGAGTATGATAATTGCGTGACTACTAACAGTGCTGTTTGCACAACGGCGTCCTGCTGGTAACGCCTTCACAGCAACACGCAACATGTACCAGGTATCGACTACAATCAACAACTTCCGTACTTCCGTCGTCTATAGATTCAACAGTACGACTGTACTACAACAGTTTCAAACACAGTTTAATATAGGGGAGCAGGGGAACCTTCAATTACAGTTTACAGTTCGTTTACCCAAACATCCAAATGTTTCAACTTTTACTTGATCGTGCTGTCCATTGTCCATGGTCACGCTTGCCGCTCTGTGCCGTACTACAGTATAATATCTGGGGGGGAGAATGGAGAATCCTAGGCAGTTCCAAACTAACGAAGGTAAACCATGACCAAATCCGTTGTTTTAACAGAATTAAACCATTAAACAGTGATAAACAGTGGTGATGACAATCGTAAACGCTTATAATACAGCGTTTCGTACCGTAGTGATGAAATCGACAACTTTTCCCTGAAACAGAGTTCAGCAGTGTTTTGCAGGTACTATTATAGTACTCGTACTGTAATAACAACAAAAGCACTTTTGGGCAGTGGATGTCATTTATTTTCTCCATCCCCCCGAAACTATTTTTGGTTTTCCGTGTTCAAGCCAGCATGTTTTCTTTCATCGCAGGGGTGAACCATACGGCTCCAGCTCCCTACTAGCTAGCAATGCTGACACCATACTCGATCTTGATTCAATAATGTACTTTTTCGCTCTAAAAGCCATCCTCGAGCTCGCACCGCTCCTCTCAGGCCTCCTCCCACAGTTTCAACACACAAATCATAATCAGGATCATCACAATCATACAACGCCCTCAGCCTACAAGACAAAAAGCAAGTCACACCATGTCACAAATCATGAGTACCAACAATGAATGCAACGAGCAGCAGCAGAAAGGAAAAGCCAATGGAGGAAAGTTCTCAGTTCCTGTTGACTTTCCAAACCATCCAGGTGGCCAGGACACCTTGAATGGCGCCCGTGGCCACACCCACAAAGAGTTTCTCTTTTTGACATCTCACATTGGATTGGACCTGGATGGGCGCATTGCCCAGGTAGCCAAGAGCAGAGGGATGGCTCTCCCTCAACGAGGAGAAGCCTACAATGAAATCCATGGGGCTCTCTGTCGTATCATCCAAGAGCACCCTGAACAAGTGACAATATATCGTGTTTGGTGTCTCTTCTTGACAGTCATGTTTCCTACAGGCATCATTGGCTTTACCGTAACAGGCAGTCGTTGGTGGGCAGCCATTTTGGGCTTTGTTCATGTGAGCTATAGTTTCAACATCTTTCACATGCGCCATCACAGTGGTGGCAAAGTCTATGGCATTGGCTGGTTGGACAAACTGACTGAGCCCATTTATGACTTTTTGGATCGCACCTATTGTTTTAGCATTGAGGGCTGGAGAAAACTCCACAATGAAAGTCATCATTTGGTCACCAATGATCCAACCAGTGATTACGACATCCTTTCGACAGTCGGGAAGGGATTCAGAATCCATCCTGATATTCCTTACCACCCACACCACCGGTTCCAACCATACTATCTGCCAATATTGCTGGCTCTGAATGGACTTACATTTTCCATTAGCAACGTGAAGAAACGTGGAGGACATCCAGTTTTCTGCATGATTTACTGGATCACTCTGTTCATTTTGCCAACCTATTTGCATGGATGGCATGCACTGAAGACAATGGTTGCCACCATAATGCTGTTTATTGGATTGCTGATTACGCATCTCTTTCAAATCTCTCATAATCACAGTGATCTGGCAGCATTTTCTGATATAAAGAAGAGGCCAGCTGTTGACTCCATGGGCCGTCCAAAGAACATTGATGATTTTATGCAGTTGCAAATGCTTGAATCCATGAGCTGGGGTGGGTATCTAAGCTGTCTCTTATTTGGTGGCATCAACTATCAAATTGAGCATCATTTGGCCCCATGTGTTCCCTCTCCCCTTTTATATCACTACCTGTCTCCCTTCCTGCGTGAAATGGCACAGCGCCGAGGGTGGAGCTATGTCTATGAACCTGACTTTGCAAGTGCAATGGCTTCGTATCATGAACACATTTACCAAATGAGCTTGCCCCCAAAGAAACTGGAATAGGTGTTGCTTGATGAAGCCGAGACCAGGAAACTTTGAATCAGGGACGACCACATGCAAGCAACAGTAGAGTTTCTCGTAAATAGTATATAAAGTACAGATATCGAATGTTCTGTTTTGGGTGGGTGGACAGCCAGTGCCCTATAATTGTGTCACGGTCGGATATTCACCGCAACACAAACACAGAAAACAACAATAACAAAAGATGAACCCCGGCCTCCAACCCCACAAACACAGTACAGACACTTGCATTTGTCTTCATATTATAAAAGTCAAAGACGCATAAGGGGTCTCCCAGCACGAGGAGCCACAGGTGGCCCACCCAGCGTAGCGGTAGCGGGAAATGTGATTCTTACATGATTCTAAATTGCTTGCTTTTGTACTCAGTAGGTACCAGGTACCTGTACTCGAGTATGATAGATCAAGTCCAAACAGCTGTCCTAAACTAAAGCTAGTAGGCTTTGCCCTCTGTTCCGGTCGACTACTGCCACAGTACAGGGCGCCCACCAACCATCCGAGTGTTGTGTGAGAGTTGGTGGCGGGAATGAGGAAAGATACAACATGCACGAATGAGTTTTAAAAACAGGACAGCACTGTGAAAAAATGAGCCAAGGTGCACCCCAAAACGCACGTGCGAGTAATAAGTGCAGAATTTTCATTTTTCTCACTGATGAAGGGTTTGACGCAGATCTGACACAACCCAAGAGAAAGACCAACCGTGGGAGGAGGGAGTGATGGCAAGGGGAGTGACTACGGGTACCTGTATTGCATTGCTGTGATTACGACGATAGTTTTTATTACCCGCCAACAATGTTGCGACGAAGTCCACAGAGCACACCCGAGAGGAAGCACTCTCCAGAGATTCCGGGTGGTATCAAGCCTCCATCTCCTCGAACCGACAGGGAAGGGTTTCGACGATCTGGGATTAGTTGTTGGCATCGATGGACTATTGGTCTGGCTTTTTTCATAGCGTCGTTGACCCTGCAACACTTTCTTTTGGCTCACAAACACGCCACGGAAGATCCTGGCTCGCTGAGGAATCTTGCGCTTCACAATAACTATTCCGTCAGCACTCCTCTACCCTCATCCTCCATGATCCCCGTAGAGACGACGGCTACCAACACTCGAGGGCCCTTATCTGGTCACAAACGCATTCATCCCATTCAATTTCAATACGACTTCAAAACCAACACGGGTCATCACATTCGACTCTTTCAAAACGAACTGGCAGCCGAACCATCGACTGAAATTTACCGAGCAAGTCGAGGAGACGACGATGATGTCGAGGACCAGAAGGATGCCGTCTGCGAGGCTATCAATCCCAACTACAGGCAGCTCTATCAAAACTGTGGAATCCTTCATGAAATTGATCCCATAGATGGAACTTTCATCAATTGTGGGGGAGCCAGATGTGCCTTTTACTTGCCCGATAAAACGGCAACCTCCCAACGAGTCGTCTTGAAGACTCAAAAGTAAGTAACAAACAATACCGACGCATTTGTTTTCCCTGTCGTACAACAGTTTGCCTGGATGGATCCATGAACTTTCATCTGACTCCAGTAATATTGTTTTGTACCTCTTTATCTTCTCATGATCTATCCTTAAAAACCAAACCAATCAACAATCATTGTATTGCACAACAACAATTATCATCCATCCATCAATCAACAGATACAAAAAGGACTGGAAACCCCGTCGATGGGAAAAGGCTCGAAAAGATGGTCTCATTATGGAACTGGCAACTCACTCCCAATTCGTTGCCAATGTCTATGGAACGTGCGGAACATCGCAACTGCTTGAATACGCTCCCCGCGGGGCTCTACACGATCACATCAAACTCTCGCGTCTGGCAATGCAGGACACCATGAAACCTGTGGACAAGCTCAAGATTTTGATTCACATTGCCTCGGCCATTACCGACCTGCACGATCCCAAGGTAGCTGCCGTTCATGGAGATATTTGTTGTCATCAATTCTTGTGGATGGATGGCTTTTACAGACTCAATGACTTTCACATGAGCAGCTTTATATTCCTCAACAAAACCAGCCATCAGACATGTCCTGGACGCAATTCCGTGGCCCAACACGAATACTTGTGGCGGGCACCGGAAGAAAGCGAAACCGATTTCAAGACGGTCAAGTTGGATCTGGAAAAGGTGGACGTATGGCAAATGGCGCAAACCATGTTTTATGTCTATACCAAACAATGGCTCTACGAAGGAATGCCCGAAAAGCAAGCCTACCAACTGTTTCACAATCGGACCCTCTCCAGCTTTCCATCCCATCTCAACACAGCCAATTCTGCCAATGCCGCCATGCAAGCTGCCATTCAATGGTGTTGGAACTTTCAAGCCGAGAAACGACCCACTGCACAGCAAGTACGAGATTACTTGTTGCAACAACTTTCCACCATTGTTGGTCGACCGATTGGACCCAGAGATCACAAGGAACTGGCAGTAGCGGTGCCGCCTCTGCCCAAGAATCATCGGTACACCGATTCCAGCATGGATGGTGCCAATCCAAAAAAGGGGAAAGAGAAGAAGCACATTCGGTATACCGAAGACTGATGAGATGGATGAATGAATGGCAAAGCGACAACAGTAGCTACACGACTGCCGCGCACAGGACAATGGCGTATAAAGTGCCGGTTTGGAAGCAGGTGTCTGACAACAGACAAGAGGCAGACCGTATTCGCAGGAGAGGCGGTTGTGTAGCAAGATGCAAGGGCGGCCACACTGGGTGGCTTGACAACAATGTAACACACACAACTCTGCTGAACTGAGGGCACGGCAGCTAACTAGTAGCATCAATGTATTCATTAGAGAAACGAACCTGCAGCATGTTTTCGGTTCACACCACTGAATCCGAATCTCGTGCAAAGTCTTGTCTGCCTTTGTTTAGTTTCTCTGGAAGCCGTACCGTAGCCTGCAGTCCACACACAACAAGCCATCTAAATTCAAACACTGTACACTAGTTTACGCCATGCATTCCTACAGAATCACGCAAACATGAAAGAGCCAATAAGTCATGAGGTGGTAGTGCGCATGCAATCTTTGGGCTGTCTTGGCATCAGCGGCAGTAGATGCAAAATCTCTGACACTTTGCTCTTGCCGTGGGTGGAGGTGGTCGTGGCACTGAACTGGTATGCATACTATGCATCTGCCTTTGTCTCTCGCTCATTAATGTAATGTAACGCTGGTGTGAAATGAAACGCAAAAAGACAACACACGTGTAGAAAAGAAAGGCCGTTGCCTGCTTGCTACAGTAGAACCAACCAGACAACCATTCGAATAGAGTCGAATCATTCATTCATTGTTCACACACAAATCAATCTGCTCTCGGTGGTGGCTGCTGCACCAAGGGAACATAACGAACACCCAACAATTCCGTGATTCGAAAATCATCTTGCGTGAAACCATCACCGAGTCGTTCCACCCGATACAGGTTTTGGACTCCACCTTCGGGTCCAACGGGGATGATCAAGACTCCTCCCACCTTTAACTGCTGGAGCAATGCTCGTGGGAATTCGGCTGCCGCGGCACCGACATGAATGGCATCAAAGGGACTGGCTTCGGGCAATCCTTTCCATCCATCCGAGACTTGCACCGACACAATGTCTTGATCCAGGAGGTCTTGGTCCGCCTTTTGCATGTTCCGCGTGGTCATGTCCACCAAATGTGGGTAAATGTCAATGCCGTAGACATGTCCCGTCTTGGTACTGTCTAGAATGCTGCCCTGTTGCTCTTGTGGTGCTACCCATCTGCCGAGGGCCGCCGTGAGGTATCCACTGCCACACCCCACGTCTAGAATCTTGACGGAATCGGTCTTGCTGGCTTTGAGGTAGGGGTATATTTCTTCCAGGACATGGGCGTGCATGTGAGGAGCGGAAATGGTCTGACCCAGTCCAATGGGTTGAGGACTGTCCATGTAGGGTGACGACTGTTGTTGGGCATTGTTGGGTGCGTAGTGCTGTCGATCGACTCGATTAAGCACCTCTTGTACCGAATCAGTTCGTACAATTTTGGCTTGCATCATGCGATCGACCAAATCGCGTTGATTGCGACCATGGCAATTCCAAGCTCTCATATTGTTGTTGTTGTCGTTGTCGTCTTTGTTGGTTCGTTCGGGTTCGTCTGGACTATCAGCATAGAATAGCTTGCTGCTATCTGTGTTTACTTTGGGACCTTCTTTGGGATTGACTGGAACAAAGGCAGCTCTGGATGATTTGCTATGGTTAAGCCTGTTGCTGCTGTTGTTACTATCCGGATTGGCAGCGTGGGTATCGTAGACTAACCAGAGGAGCACAGTGGTGGTTGCTAAAGAGATGGAAGCGACACGAGAAAGCGCCTTTCTCGTCATCGAATGATCGGGTGATACTGATGACAGGAAAACCGAAAGAGAACCAAGTGCTTCAGTAGAGGAATGGGACTGACCGGACGTTGAGGGTTGTCGAGTTGGTCCAATGTGATGATTGGTTGCTGTGCTGATTGGAGGATAATATACCCCTAACTAATGATCAATGCTGAAAAAGTTGAGAACCTTCTCTGGGTATTGAAACCACGACGACTTGACAAGAGCAATACTCTCCTCTCTGGAGCAATGGCAAGGATTGTAGCCTCTCAAAGATTTTTGATACGGCTTAGATAGAGTAGATCAAGAATAATGAGGTCTGGATCTTGAAAGATCCCCTACACGGTTCCAAAGCTCCACCGGTCCATGTCCCATGCCAAGAAGCGAAGGATAGCAGGGTGGCGATGGGTTGGGGTCACGAAACCTCGCAGGCTCCATCTTCGTACCTTCTCCCTAACTTAGCCCTATCTCTGATGATGATGGAACCAAATCGCTATCGCTGCCCTTGCTTGAGCAGCAAAAAAAAAATGGCGATCCACAATTCCACATCAAAACTGATAGAGCGCCATGGCTCTCTCTGCATGAGGAGCCCATCCCCAAGAAGCAAAAGCTGTCTGCCTCCACTGCTACACAAAAGTTGATGATGCCCTTTCCCAGTGTGAGAGTGCTCTTCTGGAAATGGAGAAGGAGGGCGACAAGGAACAGGCGAATACTAGCTAGGCTCGAGGCCATGGAAGCAATGGTGAAAGAGTTTAAGGACCGATATTCCTTGATGAGTCAAAATGATATTTGGATCAACGGCATTCTGCCCTTTCTGGGAATGGGATACTATCTCCTCCTTTCTAGTGTGAACAGACAAATGAAAAATCTTTACTTGACCTACTGCAAGATTGTGGAGAATCCTCCACAGGTCCGCTATTTATTTATCGTCATTTTGTGACCATGACCAAATTGAAGAGGCAAGCCCCACCCATGTACAATACTGTATTTTCCAGTGTGGCATCAGCAGAATATTGGAACAGCCAGTTTGTCCAAAATAATCACCGAGATCACCTCTTCTAGAAGCGAGTATGTGAATCGCTTGCCAAAATGGGAAATCTACAGTTGCTAAAATGGGCTCATGGAAACGCTTTTTCATGGGACCATAGTACATGCTCTGAAGCTGCAAGAAAGGGGCAATTATCTGCATTGAAATATGCATGCAGTAATGGCTGCCATTGGAACGAGCAAACATTTCGCCAAGCAGCAAAAAATGGTCATCTGAATGTTCTTCAATGGGCACATGAAAATCAGTGCCCTTGGGGTGAAGAGACGTGCATGGAGGCTGCTGCACATGGCCATTTAGATGTGCTTGAATATGCCCACCTACATGGTCTCCCATGCAACGAGCGAACGTACGGGGTTGCTGCTTCATTTGGGCATCTGCACATTCTGAAATGGCTACATGAAAATCAATGCCCCCATGATGAAGATACATGCATTTTGGCCGCCCGTGGTCATCTGGACGTACTGAAATGGGCCCATGAAAACGGCTCTCCATTGGATGCTTCTTGCTGCCGTGCTGCTGCTGGAGCAGGTCGTCTGGATATTTTGAAATGGTTGCATGAAAATCAGTGCCCCTGGAATGCATAGACATGCACTTCTGCTGCTGCAGGTGGGCATTTGGATGTTTTGAAATGTTGAAATGGGCTCGTGCCCATGGTTGTCCTTGGGATGCCAGAACAACTTCGCAGGCAAGAACCCATGGCAACTGGGAAATTCTGTATTGGTGTCTCCGAAATGGCTGTCCAGATGACAATGACAGCGATATCTCATACTAGCAATCGCAAAAGCTGGCTTGGTCACATTCGTTGTTGGGCTTTGATGTATCTCCTGTAGCAGCTTGTCTTGCAGTCCTTTGCCTATGGAGAATCTTCTCTGAAAGATCCCCTCCACGTGCAGCTCGGTGTCCCCAGAAGCCAAGGGGGAAGCAGGGTGACCATGCATGGGTTGAGGTCACGACAAGTATCTTCGTGAGGGACTTCGATCCCAAGCCCTAACGGTGAATCTTTTCTAGTGTGCCGCCACCACGAACGCGGGAAATTTTCATCATTGCAGCTGCTGCGTGTGCACTAGCTAGCTCCCATCCCGAGCATATGCTCATCCACAACACAATTGGGAAGTCCAAAGTTTCTGCAATTGTATCATTCTAGAAATGGAATTCACCCGTTGGGATTATATCGGTCGCGACCATGCCTTCTGCAAAGAATGCGGCTGCTATTTTATACAGTCATCGCAGGTCGACTTTTGTTCGTCATGCAGGGCTGAGATCGCATGGGAGCCTACTGATTGCGCCTTTCGTGCCCTCAGAACGGATGAACTTGTTTTGGAGGAAGGCTTTCAACCTGCCAACCCCAATGCCAACGTTTCCGTAGAGCAACATGTCCTCGACGGGAGTGTCATGGACACTCAGTTCATCTCTTTCACTTGGTCCCTGGATGTGGCTGTTTTCTTCGCCGTGAAAGGATTTCTAGCACGAGGTAACATGCCAAGGGTTGCCGTGGCTTCAGTGCCCCTCGACCGGTTTCAGGATCTCTCCGACATGGGTATCCTCGTAGACTGGACAGCCCGAAACTATGCGCGGGTGTTTCGAGAGTTCTTGGTGACCGATGAAACCAAGCATCTCGTCGATGTGGAGAAAGTACTCGAATTGGATCCGGCAGTTTGTCGCGTGTTTTGGGGTCACACCGGTTCCTTTCGTGACTTCCAAAGCATCTACGAAACGTCGGTTCTTCGCAACAAGGTTATCAAAGCCTTGAGAACGACAAAGTTGGCAGTTGAGGTTGACTTGGTTGGATTGCCGCATTACCGAGCCTTGCGTGAGAATGTGAATCTCCATTTCATTCGACTCGTTCTAGAAAATGATAATCCGCATGATCAGAACAATGCCATCAGAGTGGATGGATGCAACGTTTTGAGACAAGAGAAATGGCATACAATCGGCTATCTCTCCAGCGAGCATGCAGAAGAAGTCCGGATGAACCTTGCACTCTCTGGCAATAGGTATCGTTGTCCCCGCTTTCCGGATTTGAATCCCACCTACGAGACATGGTTGGAAATTCACTTTGAGGTCCACAACGATTGCGCGAAGGCAAAACTGCGTCTTCATGGCATGCGTGACAGTGCAGGAAAAGCTTGGTTTGAGCCAGTCCACATCATTTAACCATAGCATCGTCCAGGTCCCTGTACTTGCAATATACGGTACTAGCTAGCAACCTTTTCATGGCAGACGATTGTTCTACAATCTGGTTAAGCTGCCCAACTGTAGACTTGTACGATGGTAGCCAAGTTCTGTAGAGGAACGCCCTTCCACCAACTGGTGGGGAACTGGAACGGGAGCGAGCCCGGCCGGATGAGACTTAAATGGAAAGCCGTTAGGCTTGACATTTAAGTCGAAGCCGGCCGGGCGAGCTCCCGGCAGTGAGCCACAGGAGGGGGAAGGGCGTATCTTCTGGAACCAAGTGACAATTTCACGCTAAGTAACTTAACGGCCGTTAAGGTAGCTAACTGTACTTCCTAAGTAAGTAAAATGTGACCATTTACAAGTCATCAAGTAACCCCTAAGTAGGTAAATTGTGAGCGTTTACACATCACTTGCGACAAACCCAAGGAAAACTGCCAAAACAAGAACCATGGTAACTCATGCACCACTGGCAACAACAAGACCCATCGGTCATCGCGAAGCGATCGGTCGACTGCATGTACCACCCAAGCCCTCGCGGCGTTTGAGCGACATACCCTGGCAACAACAAGCCCTCGCGACAACACCCAGCAGTAGCAGAACCAAGCCTCTTTCTAAAGTAGCAGGGACAAGAACAAGACGATCGCGAAACGATCTTTGGACTACCACCCTAGCCCTCGCGGCGTTTGAGCGACACTTCCTGGCAACAACAAGCCAAGCCCTCGCGGCGAGCGACAACACTAGTAGAATGGACAAGCTCTCGCGGCGAGCGACAACTAGTAGTAGCGGATCGAAAACTAGACTTGCTACAACTACTAGTATCGTCTTCGCTCCTGTTGTTGTTTGTTGTTGTTTGTTGTTGTTTGTGCTGTTGTTGTTGTGAGGTACCGAAGCATCAACCAGCCACGGTAAATCATGCTTCGTTCCAGTGTTTCCACCCAAATTTGCGTGGATGGGTCGAGTACTGATATTCCCATAGTAAAAACAGTCCTGTTTGCTTGTCAACTTCAACTTGACGTAGACGCACTACTAGAAGCTACATGATTCCTCCAAAATAATTGGAGCATGGTTCCAAATTAAACTCCGTGCAGACGATTGTTCTACAATCTGGTTAAGCTGCCCAACTGTAGACTTGTACGATGGTAGCCAAGTTCCAAATTAAACTCCGTGCCGTAAGAAGGCTGCAAAGCAGCGTTTTTATCCGTCAATTTGGCTCTCCAGAATAATTCACGACTGGGTACTACGGCCTCGGGTTCAATTGGCCACAAGGCCTCCGGAAGAAAATTCGAGGGTCCTCTCAGAAATCCAAGTTTGTCCTGTAGAACACTGGTACATTTCTACATGAATCACAAATCCCAACCTTGGAGCGAAATTGAAGGGTATCGCCCGGCGCGATGGCTAAGAAAAAAAACGCTTACCATTAACCTTAAACAGCTAATATCCCTTAAGTAAATGTTAGAAAGGTATTTTCGTATGATGGACAGACGACTCGGGATCCACAATCACGGTTCGTGATTGGGGATGTGTGACTCAAATCAGATGGTGCGTCTACCGTACTCTCCAACTCCCGTTGCCAGCAGAAGGCAAGACAATTCCAGGACCCATCCATCCCGGCAGCATAGGACCAACACGACAATGGACCAAACCCTTGCCCTGGAGTTGGAGTGCCCCCAAGACTTTGAAATTGCTTTGGAACATGTGGACTCGATCTTGAGAGACGATGATTGCGAAGAGCTGCCCTATCCCAGGAAGGTCGTTTGCCGTGGGCAGTTCTTCTGTTGGCCAAAATCACGTCTCGTTGCGAAGCTGTTTGGAGGGCACTACTTGGGTGCTTTCCCCTTGCGGAGTCTGCAACTGCAACACCTCAACTTTCCTTTCCTGGTCGATGGCTTGTCTGAAACAGTCTGGGCCACCCGGCACACCTTGCACAGCTTGGAATTGTGGGACGTTCGCCTTTGCTGGCACGATTGCAAGGATAAGGGTCGTATGGCTGCCTCCTTGACCAACCACCCAACGCTGGAAAAGGCGACGATCAAGCCAATCTCCTGCTGTCGTAGCTGTCGCGGCGAGGAAGACCCCTCACCCAGGCACAATGAATTGCTTGCTGCGCTGGCAACCTGTCCATTGACGGATCTTCACTTGTCCAATGTGAATCTTTCTTGGAGACAAGATGGACGTGTCTTGGCTTCCTTCCACAACCACCCCTCGCTTCAAAAAATGGCTCTTAATGACCTGATGTGGCCAAGTGGCTCTGAGTGGAATTGGGATGGGCCTGGTACGAGAACACTTTGGTTTGGCTGGCTGAAGAAACTATTGGCGTCACTCTCTACGTGCCCGAAATTGTACTCCTTGACGTTGGATACTGCAATGCCGAGGGATGTCGATTTTGTGGCCATCTGCGACGACATGAGGCTCTATTGGTTGTCCAAAGCAACCTTGAAGGAACTAGTGTTCAAGGCGCCACTCGTTCGCCGCCAAATTGACAACGTCTTGTTCATGAGGACGACATCAAACAGGGGAGGCATGACGCCGGTGCATCAAGACTACGTCAGCACCATCAAAAGCATTGCCAACAGATTGGAAATCAACGCTACCCTGACAAGATTGTCTCTGTCCATCCCGGAGGAATGTTTGCTCTCGTTTGTGGAACCATTGAAACGCAACCACCCTCTACAATGTCTCGAGCTGCACCTGCCAGAGAATGTTTTGGGATCTGGGGACGACGCCGAGATGTTTGCCAAGGTCCTAAGGGATTGCAACGATACGCTGGAGCACCTGGTTGTTCCCGGGTTTCATTTTTACCGCCTTCTTCAGTACTACCTCCTCTTGAACCGAGCTGGTCGTAAGCGATTGCACAATGACGAGGCTACCGATCGAGAATGTGTCGATGCACTCGTCAAGTACCGAGAGAGTCTGGATGTGGTCCATTTCTTCCTCTCCAAGTGCCCAGCCATCTTGTGGAGGACGCACGACACCTAAGCCTCAAATGGTGAGCTACCACTTCGAGAGCGCGCAATGAACCAATCCCAATAGCTAGCAGTAGGAACAAGCTGGTTTAGAGTGAATCCTATCATTACTATGCTGATGATTTCTTTCTGGCTAGTCCATCTCGCTGCTTTAGCTAGCCGTCTTGCTAGCTGGATTGTACGGTAGATTGTTCTTCTTACACACACACACTCATAAACATATTTCTTTCTTTCTTTTGCATTGACTTGATTGGAGTTGATTGTGTTCTTTTCTCTATCTCTCTCTCTAATTTACTGTTCCCACCCATTTGCTTCGAACATTTGTGCCACTCGATTGAATACCACTGCCTTGAATCCCATCTTTGGCTGAAAGTTTTCCTCTGTGGGTTTATTCTCGCAGACCACCCGTACATAGCGCGCGACAAACGGAGGTGGAAATCCAAAGCTGGATCGCATGCCACAGCTGGCCAATGCCGAGAGGGCATAGCCTTGGGTCCAAGTCACTCCATCGAGGCTGTAGTCCACCCGAAAGTCCACAGACACGTTGGAGACGTGCACTTCCACTCCTCCGATCCGACGGATTTGTTGTTTGGGGTGCAACTGGAACTGGACATATTCTTCTCGTCGATTGTTGGGTGACGCAATCTCCTCGGATTCCCAAAAGGTCTTGCCTGCCAGCTTGAGAAGGTTTTCTAGTGCATGGCTACAGCGTCGATCCGTGGAAGAGGCATGCATGACTTGAATCTCCGACTGTTTGGCCAGTGGGACCGACTTGACGCTGTTGGGCATCTTCTTGCTGCTGCTAGTAGACTTCTTCTTCTTGTTCTTGGACTTTTTGGCGTCATTGCTGCCGCTAGTGGCCTTACGCTTGGTCTTGTTGTTGATGTTGTCGGCGCAAACAGTCATGGTGATGATGGTGTTGGCGAGAGATGAAATAAGAATGAGAATGAGAATTCAATCGAATTGAATCAGCGTGAAGCTGGGAATAATGAAGACTCGACTCCTCGTCGATGGTTGCCGTTACTCCACTCCATGTCTGATAACTTGCACGACGACACGTAATAATGGACAACCGGAAGGCCACTTGAGCGCGAAAACTTGAAATTCAAAGCACCACCAGGCGCCCAAAGTAATCAGCCAGCGAGGCGGATTACACAGCAAGAATCGGGGAGCGGATCTGGATAAGAGCTCAAAGATCGCAAATCGCAAACACTGGCCCTCACCTTCTGACAAGTCCGTTCAACAGCACCAATACCGGTACGGTATGCCACAACAGCCACAGAGAAGATGATGTCCAATACCACCGCCGACGACTTGGCACTGCTAGAAAAGGCTCAAGCTCTTGTCGAAGTGGAGCAGCTACTCACATCCACTCTAGAAAAGGTGGAACCATGGTTGCTGGGAAACGCCACAACCAACATTGATCCCAATCGACCCCGTGTCCGTCCGATTCCACAAACCATGGAACAAGTCAACCATGTTCTCGCCGTGGCGCGCAACTTGGCCAGTCGAACATCGGCACCAGCGGCATGGAATCCAGCAGCACCCGTGGTGGGATTTTCCACTCCCAATCCTCTACCTCACCAACTGCGTGGAGGCGCCTTGGCGGCCCTTCAATTGGAACGGGCCCGACAAGACGAACGAGATCGAAAGCGACAAAAGGTACAAGAAGAAGAAAAGGAAAAGACCAAAAAGGAAGCTGCGGCGCAGCCAAAGGGAGATGCAAGAGGGGAACAGCATCATGCGGCAGCTGCTGCGGCTCGTAGGGCTGCTCGGGCAGCGGGAGAAGCTCATGCCAGACGTAATCCACAGCAGCAACAAAAGATCAGTATGAACCTCAGTGACAGCAGTAGTAGCAGCGAAGAGGAAGAGGACAGTGATTGATTAGTTTTCATATTTATGTGGTGCAACTTGAAGAAGTAAAAGAAACTAGAATGTTTTGATTGATTGGTACCAAAATATCATCCAAGACGGAGGCTCAGGTGGAATCAATAATAGATCGAAACCAGTGATTGGTATCACTTGATATTAATAGCTAGCCACCTCGACTGACAAGCTGGTAGATTATTGGCCCGTTTCTATTATTTGTACAATCCAAAGACTTCGGGGTCAATGGGTGTGTCACCTCCTGCAATTGTTACCAGCTCTTCCTGGGACACATACTTGTTCAATTCAGCAAACGTAGAGAGGAATGTGACCTTGGATCTCGTCTCGGCGGATGACACAAACCCATTGAGCGTGTATGACCCCACAATCTTGCGCAACGACACTACTTGAGTAGGCTTCACCACCACGAGGGCCCGCTGCAACCGCTCCGGGTAATGCGCTGACACCAACTCAATTAGTTGTTTGATGAGTCTGTTGTTGGTATGGACTTGCCACGTCTCTTCAGGATTCACACGAGGATTGGCAACCCTTGCCACGTCTTCGGAGGATCCATCGTTTCCATCCGGCGCTGCATGGGATTTCATTGATACACCAAGAAAATCATCCTCTTGTGCTTCTTCATGTTCGGAGTCAGAGTCATGCTCGGCTATCTTTTGCTCAAGAAACTTCTGGAACGGTTTCCCCATGAGGACAATAAGTGTGCATTTGAAGTCTTCCTTGATCGCGGAAAACTCTTGCACAGCTTCCTCCAGTCGATGCAAGACGGCAGCCACCGAAGCATCGGCATCCTTACGCCAAGGACCAAGGCCCATGTTTCGATAGTAGAACACGGGATTTCCGAGAAGATCACAGCCCTGCTGGAAAAACTGGCCGCTTTGAAGCTCAATCCGGCACATGCGTCGATCAATGGGGAAGGTTTGGCCTCGCCAAGCCGATGTCTCGACAATGCGAATTGCTGCTTTCTTGAGATTACAGGAGGCGGCAATGTAGTGCCTCCGTATGTCACCTCGGGAAATGAGAAGGAGTAGAGACATGCTCATGAGTTCCTTGTCGTGTAGCCTGCCGTCGCTGCTGCTGTATGCCTCCAAGAGAGACATAGGCATATTCCTCCCAAATTTGTACATGATCAACTGGTCCCGTCTAACTGGGACCCTGACCTTGTGCAAGATATCAATCAACTCATTCACAGCTTTCTCAACAGGATCTTCTGACGTCACGCTGGCTGTTTTGTGAGAATGCAGCAATTCTTCTGCTTTGGCAACATGCCGTTGGCTTTCAGATCCCACTGATTGTGGACTGTCTCCTCGTTGTCGCGGCGACCGAGAAAGATCGTCATCGGATGATTCAAAGCTGGCAAACCGTTTTAGCCCGCTTCTCGTGGATGATGAAAGGTTGCCGACAGTGTTGGTAATGCTATGAAAATTCCTGATGCTTTGAAAATTGCTGGCATTCCATGTAGAACGCCGGTTGTGCTCCCTTCTGCGAGACGCGCCATAAACAAAGGCAGAAGGGAGTGCAATATCCAGAGTGGAAACGCGGACTGGTCTGACAGTCCCCAAGGCTCGCTCAGGAAGTTCATCCTGCCGCTCGGCGGCCAACACATATGTCAAATCAAATACATTTCGCCTCAGGATACCCTGTTCCATCATGGACAACAACACACTCGCAAACACATTGAACCGCGATTGCGTGTGATCCACGTGACAAGTTGCCGAGACATAGTTGTTCGGCATATCACGATCCTGCTGCAAGGATCCGCCAAAGTGGCGAAGTTTTCCAACTCGAGCCACGGGGATCACAGGGAATGGAGTGCGGTCACTTGGCCCCATGTCTGAGTTTGGGGTGCTCGCGTCAAGATCGTTGGCTACGGACCTCATCAAGTAGGTCATGAATTTGATCGCCCCAATCTCTGCCCAAGACTTGTTTTCTGACGTATTCAATTGTATCATCATGGAGAGCTTACGGTCTCGCTCTTCCTCAGTTCCCTTTTTGTAGCGCGAGAACTGGCGTACCAAGAAACCAACGAAGTTACGAGGGAATGCAATCGCAACGTGTCAGTAAGATACCGTAGAACATAAACCACCGAATGATGTGCAGTGTTGTACATACAGTTGTGTCGAAGGCACGGTCGATGCCGTTTGGCAGTGATCTCACGAACACAAAGACATTTACAGCTTTGATTGACTCGGGAAAAATCGCAGACACAAAGAACTCTAAGTCGGGATTGGCTTCAATCATATCCCTGAGACTTCCAAATGTCTCGACGGGGTCCGTGTGTGGATTCAGTGGGAAATCTTCGTTCGGTGGGATCCTGAACATATGCTCTCCCACCAAGCTACAGAGAAAAGTAAGTGTGAGAACGTAGGCACACATGAGCAGCAGCAACGTGGTTTGCCGTACCTGAATGCTTGATACTTTGAAATAACGGTCCGAATGCGCTTGGGTCTCCATTGCCACCAATGTTCCGTCGTTTTGAAAGCATCTGGTTCGTTGGGCCTTACAAAGGTCAAAACATCTCGAGAAACGGTGGCCTCGTATATTTCATTCTTGACAGTAGAATCTCGTTGACTATTGTCGATATTGTCGTCGTACGCCAAGCGGCGGGTGAGGTAGTGCGTCGGCAGCGACCTATGCAAAACCCACCCCTTATTAACCACAATCCTGGCCTTGACATAGGCCTGAACCAGTAGCGACGACGTGGCCGTTCGTTTTCTCCAGCGCAAGAGCTGTTCCATGCGCTTTTTGTTGGATTCATTGCGAGGGAGGGCAGTTTCCGGAAGACGCGGGACAAAGAGACGAAAAAAGTCCACGGGCCCCAACAGGAGTCGTTTCCGAACGTAGTCTTTGGATAGGTAAATGTACTCATTCTGAATTTTGCTGGGAGTACTCGTAGTGTCTTCTTTGGAAGTATTCTCCTTGTTGGCTGCTTCAGTGTCGCCACCATCTTCCTCGCCTTCTGTGGCAGGAGCACTGCCCACAGAAGAATTGGACGAGGGGTTGTTGTTGTTATTCTTCTTGGCGTTTTTTTCGCCCTTTTTTTGTTGTTTGCGTGCACGATTATGAGCCCTCAATCGCAGACTATTCATGGAATAATGATGCCACCACAGACGCTCCAATGCGACTCGCAAGGACGGAATACTGCTTCCCAAGGACCTCATGGCATCATCCCATGCCACCCCAATCCCCTGTGGCACTTCATCTGACACTTCATCGTCATGACAGACATATTCACGTCCGTCGCATGCTATGCTTCCCTGGTGTATGAGCTCCAATGCTTGATACATTCGCTGCAATGCCGGTCCAAAGAGTTGAATGGCCAACATGTCCGTTTGGAATTGTGCGGCACTGTTGGCCGTGTCGAATGTGTGTTCCATCCATTCATCCTTGCTGGAATCCTTGACGTATATTTGCAAGACTCCCCCAATGAGTGGTGTATTGACGTGTATGGAGCACTGTGCGACGGGGAGTGTCAATGGTGCGGCCCGGGAGCTGGGTTCTCGAATATTCATGAGACACTCATCATTGGACAAATCGAGGACAATTTCCCGCTGCAATTTCATGCGCGTGTCGTGTGGCATGAGTGATCGGGAGGCTTCAGTCCAAGATGGTGGAGGTGTCCAAGTGTTGTATACGAGTTTCTTGTCAATGGGTCCATGATAGGCAATCGGTGGGATGGTTCTGGGGCGACTATTATGGCGATTGCGAATGGCAGGACCTCGTTGTCCCGTGGCGATTCCGTGCTGCATGGCTGGATTGTTGTCTTCACCACCTCCACCAAAGAATGGATCGGTATTGCCGAATAGATCGAAACTTCCCGATCGATCTCGATGTTCTCGTGAACCTGTGGAGTGTTGTCGGAACGCCATCTGGGGGTGATTGGGTTCCCCTTGTGTGTTCTTTTTCTTTTTCCAAAAGTAGTCCCAACCAAACAACCAACGCGTGCGACTATTCGCGGGTGCTTGTGCGGCAGAGAGATCCAAATCGAGGCTGAATCCACGGTCTTTGGCGCCTCGGATACTGTCAGAGTTCCCCCATGTGAGTGACTGTGATCGATCTCGGGCTCGTCTTTTGATCCATCGTCGTCTTGTTACGAACAGAATGGAAAGGAGTAGAAGTAGAGCCAGAGATCCCAGCGTCGTGACGATTGTGTCGGGCGGTAATCCCGTCTTTTCTTGCATCCACAGGGTAGATTCGTGCTGCAGCCACGCCGCGTGGAGTTGCCAAAAGTGTTGATTCGCCAGAACTCCCAGTTCTCGCAACTGTTCCATCCAATCGTTTAGCTTGGACTTGATCTTGTTCAAGTCAACCGAAGCCCTTAGAGATTGGAAAAAGGACTTGATGTTCATCCAAGCCCTCTGTAGTAGATTGACACAAAAGATCCACCATGACGTCAAGGCGGCTCCCACCCTGTCAAAATCCAACGTCAGCTTGTGCCGTCCCACCTGAATGGAAATTCCATTGGTCACAACGCCATCATCATTATCACTATTCGGCTCTGGCACCACGGCTGACGCCTCGATTATTTCGGCCATGGCAGGTGGCGTCTCCATCTCGTCTTGGTGGTGGTGGATCTCGGAAGCGGCTTCTTCCAGATTCTCATTGGTATTATTCCCAGGAGTGAAGGGCCACATTTCCATGTAGTGGTTCTTCTCTACCCTATCTGGAGCCTAGAGAGAGTACCCACAACACGACCAACTAGAATCCACTATAGTTAGAAGGGTGAGCCAACCACAAGTGAACAAACTGAGCCTAGCTAGCAAGTGCACTGGAGATGCTCGGTTGTTTCTGAGACAAGATGATAAGATGACGAGATCCACGCAGGTCAATAATTGCTTTTGGGAGATGGAGGTTGTAAAGCCAGTGTAGCTGTTGAAACACAAGCGTCGCAATTGCTACCGATATGATGAAGAGAGTCTGTGCAGCGCCATTCCACATGAACACAGCTACCAGAGACCAATCACTGCTTTGCCAATTGGCGGAGGAAACCAGATTTGCGTATGGACCCACTCTGAACTTGGGGTCCCGACCAACAGAGGTACGAAGTTACTAGTTGATCATCAACTATATCCTTTACTACTTAGGGCAAGTAGCACAATTACACCCACATAGACTTGTTCGGTCGCAAGCTGAAAGGTTGGTAGTTGGAACAGCAAGCACGGAGGAGCAACCTTATCACACAGCTCATCTGGTATATGGCCTTCCAAGGATGTATTTGTGGTCACCAAACTAATCAGTTTGTCCAACAGCCGGAGCTCTGTAGGAAGATTGCCAGAAAAACTTGTATTCTGCAACTCCAGCTCCAGAAGATTGGACAAGCAGCCAATTTCTGTGGGAAGAGGGCCAGAGAATTCGTTGTCATGTATAAACACATGCCCCAATCTTGTTAGTTGGGAGAAGGTTTTGCCAGAAATGGAGCCTGACAAGTGATTGTTATTGATCCACAACAAGCTCAATTGAGTAAGTCGGGAAAAGTGACTTTGATACCAACTTCAGTTGGTATCATTCCTGTGAGCTGGAGGTTTCCTTGAAATTGCAAGAACTGCAAGCTAATGCTCATTAGAGATAGCTCTGGTGGTATTGTTTCTTCCAGATTGTTGGCCACCACAAATTACAGTGATACGATGTGCCCCATGAAATTACAATTGGGCACAGGATGCCAAGGCACAACTGGTTGTTCCCAAAGGCACTCATCGGTGTCCCAATCCAACCAGCCATGATTCTTCACCCAATGATCTCCCTGGGTAGAATAATAGAATGTGGCCAATGCAAACCGTTGAAGGAGTCTCCAAGTTGGACAATTCTGGAGATTGGAGCTGGTGGTGTTGTAGTTTTTGCTCAGCCATTGATATGCAATTGTTTGTGGAGACCTATGATTCTTCATTGCTCTCAGTGTGTAATCAGGTAGATTGAGCTTTTCCATCAATGTTGATGGCTCCCCTGTACTTGAAATTGCCACTGGATTTGTCAGTATTGGTATCAACCCATTCTGCTGCTTCCTCAACTGTGTTAGGCTGTCTCTTCTTGAAGTCAAGAGAAACACCAAAAGAAAACTAGCAAGTGCAAGCATGACCACAATTGCCTCCAGGGAGAGGGAAAGACACATTTTTTTCTCCCATAACTTTCTTGCCCTTGTTGATATTGGTTCTGCTGTTGGAATCTCCCCATTTTCCGTTTCCTCAATTGGTTCAGCATGGACAAGACCATCAGATTTGCAACATGTGGGGTCACAGGAATCATTTCCAATCCTGGCATATCCGTGTTGGGTGCCCCTACAGTTGATGGTCTATCATTGGTTGTCGGGCGATGAAAGATGGGTCTAATCCCAGCCACAGCGTAGGCCCCTGGTTCCTCTTCTCTGACCCTTCGCGCTCGATGGAGTGAGGGTGGGTCAGGGGTCGGCAATGGCTGGATACCACTGGCAACGTTCATGTACCTGTCCTCGGGGAACTGGACTTCATCAAAGCAATTTGTATCAGGATTGCTGGCTTTTTGATGAGCAAGGTTTGGTTGGTCCATACCGTCCATTGTCTTGGTACCGGACGCACTTTCACAGTCATCACGATGGTTGCTTGTTTGTCGTTGTCGGTCTTGCTGTTGACGAACATCATGGCTAGAACGTTTATTCATTGTCGCCTTTACATTCCCATACACATGACATGGTTCCTCCTGTTTCCTTTCTCAGCCTATGGATGACCGAAAGTGTTGGACAATTTTCGCCTCTTCATTGCCTTTAGAAGCCTGGCCCTGGTTGGCTCCCGTAGATAACTTCCCCACTCTCGAACCCCCTTCCATATTCGTCAACCATTCGATATCAGCCAGAGTTTCACTGGAGATCAAAGGTTTCTTTAGAATGCATGCAGTCATACCTTCACAGCACCGGTTGTCTTGATGAGGTGAAAACGAAGCCCTTCCATGATGTCGATGTCGTGAAAAGAAGCCCTTCGCACTTCCGAGTTGGAGTCACGAATAATGAGCTTCCGCTTCAGTCCCGAAAGTATCTTTGGCATCAAGCACACCATGGCGGTAAACCAATGAGGGCGAAGAAGATATCACACATAAAAGGAACCTCAATCCAACCCCCAGAATCTCTTCTATTGGAGCGTAGTAGTTGTAGTTGAATCATCCATACTCGTTAGCAATCAGTTGGAAGTCGCAGCTGGATTTCCTTTTGCTAGTACCGGTACCGTATCTTTTAAGCTTTTGAGCTCGTCGGATACCCCATCTCTTGAGATCAAAGATCAAAGATATTACCCAGCTGATATTACCATCTTGAGTGTTTCTACTGCATCAGTCCACGACCATGGCAACTGCTGCCAGTGAAACGACTCCTCTGGTGGGCGGTGATACTGCTGCTCGCCGTCCCAGTGCCGCCGTTGCATTGGATACCGATGGATCTCCCACGACACGTCAACAAGTCTACGATTTCTTGGAAGCTCAGACCGACGCGGGCAAGCGCTACGAGATCTTTATGATTTTTCTGATTCTGGTCAATGTCATTGCCTTTATTATCGGATCACTCTTTGTCGAAGAGTACAACAAGGAACCCTGGGCAGCCCGCAAGGGTGGTATGTGTGGCAATGTCTGCGATGCTCTCTGGTTTGGCAATTATTCCGACAATGATCTAGAATGGTTAGGATTGGGTGCCACTTCCCTCTTGGAAATTGTCACCGTCTTGGTCTTTACCGTGGAGTATGGATTGCGACTGTGGGTTTGCGATTTGGAAGATGCCACCAAATTCTCGGGTGTCATGGGACGGCTACGCTTCATCCCCACCTTTTTCAGTCTGGTCGATTTGGCGTCCACGCTGCCCTTCTACATCGACGCATTTGCCTTGAGAGACTCGGATTGGGTCGGAAGTTCCTTTTTGAGAATGTTTCGACTCTTGCGCATGATGCGAGTTGAAGGACGATACGATACGGCACTCACCATGGTGGATGATGTCTTTCACGCGCAAAAGGGTATTATGGGCACGGCACTCTTTGTTGGATTCACCACATGGATGACAGTGGCCAGCTTGTATTATATTGTCGAACGCAAGAATGAAGATCTCATTTACTGTGGGGCAGCACCCGACTATTGTGGAGATGCCGATGACATGGATATCTCACTCTGTACCATTGACGTTTGGGGATTTGCCAATTGTACCGCTGCAGGATGTCCAGCGACCGAGGCAAACCCAGAACCCTGTTACAATCTCTACCAATCCATTCCCATGGCATCGTACTATGCACTCTTGAATCTTTTTGGAGAATTCCCACTCATTGACCAACATTCCGTGGGTGGAAAGGTTGTGGGCACATTCACAGCCGTTCTAGCTGCCGTGGTGTTTGCGGTCCCCACGGGTATCATTGGGAATGGCTTTGAAGCCATTATTGAACAAAAACAAGCTGAACGAGGGGGCGGAGAGGTAGTTGCTCTCGATGAGTGGTACCGTACTGCCGGGTTTGTCACGGAGGGCACCACGTTGCGCCAAAAGCTATACAACTTTCTCCATGCCATGACAGAACCATGGTCCATGGCATATGATTTGTTCATCCAACTATTGGTCATTGTCACAACCTTGACATTCATGCTGGATACCCTCAAGGGAACCACCGCAGCCATGCATGTGTCGTTCGATTCCATCGAGTTCTTTGCAGTCGTGGTCTTCACCCTGGACTATCTGGCACATGTCTATTCCGTCAAGGAAGACCCCAAATATAGTGCCTCTGTGGGTGGACGATTCTGGTACATGCTGACATTCTTGGCCGTGGTCGATTTTCTTTCCGTCTTTCCCTATTGGTGTGAATTGCTCGTGAATGGTGAAGCCATCATTACTTCTTCGGATACCACAAGCACCGCCAGCAACCTGGTTCGGGCATTGCGGCTGCTACGTATCCTGCGCTTTGAGAAGTATACCAGAGCCTTTACCACCTTTGATGACGTCTTGAGAGGTTGGTACTACACAAATGTTTTACGCCGTCCACTGTGCTGTCTTGCGTTGCCTTACTCTAACAATTTTCTGCTTCTCTTTCACATTTGTCGGCTAGCCAATGCCCAGGTTCTACAGCTCACTGTGTTTACGGCAATGCTTCTCTGGGTTTTCTTTGCTGCCTTTTTGTACATCACAGAACGCGACAATCCAGATGAAGAAATGGCTTCCAACTACAACAACGTACCCAACAGCATGTGGATGACACTCCTCAATCTGTCCGGAGAAGCGCCTCTCTGCCAGTATTCTGTGTGGGGAAAGGTCGCATCAGGCATCATTGGCTTGTTCGCAACGGCCATTTTTGGTATCCCCATCGGTATTTTGGGAGCTGGATTTGAGGAACTTGTCCAAGAGAAGAACGCAGACAACACGGAGGAATTGGTAGCTGCAGCAAATGAAGCCAACAAAACCCGTTCACCAGAAGAGGAGGACAAAGCCTTGGAAGAAGCATCTGCGGAACTGGGGTCCTTCTTGGAGCACTGTTTGTATACCTTTGTCAATGGTATTGGAAGTCCGATTGCCAAAGCGTTTGAGATCGCCATATATGCCCTGATCTTCTTGGCTGTAGGAGTGGGATGCTGGCAGACCGTGGAAGGGGAAGAGAACAGTTTCCGTGAGATTGAGTGGATAGCTGTCGTTGTCTTCACATTCGAGTATGTACTTCGTTTCATTGGAGCAGGCGCCGACCCAGAGTTTGCAGTACCAGGAGGTGATCCGATCTCCTGTCGAATCCGCTTTTTGTTCAGCTTCTACTCATTTGTGGATCTGGCTGCGATCATTCCATTCTACGTGTCATTGGCCATGCCAGATTCCATTGTGGATCAATACGATGAGTATTTGAGAATGTTGCGTATCGTGCGACTTATCAAACTCGACAAATATGTACCAAGCATTTCCCTGATTGATGACGTGATTCGTCTGAAGGCCAATACGCTCAAGGTAGCTGCCTATGCCGCAGCTACCCTATGGATCCTTTTTGCAGCGCTCTTGTACCTTTTTGAGACAAAGGACACAATAAATGACCTGGATGATCCCGTTCCGGACTATGGCTGCATGGGGGACTGCACCATGGCTGATCGCTTCCAAAATTTCTTTGACAGCATGGTCTACACAGGCGTCCACTTGACAGGTGACTACCCCATCACTACATACACATGGCCCGCCCGAGTGTGTTGCTTCTTCATGGTCATTGCCGCGGTTGGCGTGGTTTCTGTCCCGTCCGGACTCATTGCAAGTGGATTCTCAGAGATTGTCCAAAGTAGAAACAGGAAGAGAGGCGGAGAGCGAAGTCCTACTGGGCGCGCTGGTGATGATTGGTACGAAATCTCCCTAAGACAACTTCGGAACGTGGCTCCTCCTCCTTCGCCTTGGGGGGCGAAAGTGGACGAATGGCAAGTAGCCGTGAACGAGTTCTTGAACGGCAAGGATGGTGCGAATGGAGAGACAAAATGGACGTTCTTTTCCAGAACAGGACGTGTTTTCATTTTCACTGTGATCATCACGAATGTTCTGGCTGTCCTGCTGGAGAGCATTCCCAACATCGACAAGGCAGTAGGCAATGATCCTGGTAACTTCTTCGATTCCTTTGAAGCCTTCTCGGTGTTTGTCTTTGCCTTTGAATACATTCTCAGGCTCTTCTGTGCTCCGAAGAACAAAGAGGCTCTGTATTCCTCCTGGACCTATGCCACCACTTTCTTTGGGATCGTGGATTTGCTGTCGACAGCCCCTTGGTTCGTTGAACAAGCCTTGATTGCCTCCGGACTAGAGGATGAGAGTGGCGACCTGGCTCGAACCTTTCGCATCGCACGTATCTTTCGATTACTTCAATTGGAAGATTTCATCACAGCATTCAGTAAACTGGACAATGTCTTCCGAGCATCGAAGGATATTCTCAAGGCTACTGGCTTGATGGCCCTCATCATTTGGGTCGGTTGTGGCGCGTTGTTTTTCATCTTTGAAGAAAACAACCCCAATTGGCGCGAATGCGATGCGTCCATCCCCTTGACATCTGAGAGTTCCAGATACCCAGGCTGCTATGACTTTGCCACCACTGCAGCTTGCAACGAAGTGTACACGAATATGTGCACCCAGAAGGCTTTCACAAACATGCCAGACAGCTTGTACTACACAGCTGTCTTCTTGGGCGGCGAGTGGGGAGTCATTGACTTCACTTGGCCCGGTCGATTGGTGTGTCTTTTCCTCTGCGTCATGGGTATCGGTCTCTATGCGATTCCAGTCGGAGCCCTATTCGACAGCTTTGGTGCTGTTCTGGGTTTGAGCGATGATGACGACGACGAAGATGAGGAGTAAGCGTTTTGCCCTTTATGTTATAATTCGATTCTGCTGAGTTATGTTCTCTTCGAAGCTCTTGTTGTGGTTGTCCCAACCGCGTTACTACTAGAGAGCTACCCAATTGTAAAGTTTTATGCGTAATCTTTGTTTGTTGCGACCCCAATCCCCACTTTGCGCTGCATTGAGTCCTGCCCAAGTGCTGTTTGTTTGCGGAAGACGCTGGGTGATGGTGTTCCTGCATTCCGTGGCCTGCCGTAATAGTAGCCTTCATAAGAATACGCAGTGCCTCTGTCTGCACGAGGCTGGCTGGGAGTGCCCAGCTGTCCAGTCAGGGTCGTCCGTTTGCTGCGCGGGGTTTGCTGATTGTGCGTTGACGACTGACTCTTTCCAACCACTTAAGTTGATTTGGTTTGTTTCGATTCGATTCTGCAGTAGCTAATGAAGTCGGTAGTACCATTCGTCTTGGTCTACACCATAAGAATTGGCATAGTGTGGTGCCTCTGGATAATGGCATTTTCGTATGATAGAGGCAACAGATCCCACATTTGAGTTGAAAGTCCCAATGAAGTATGTTGCATCAACCATCAATGACATTTCTGTCAAGAACTCTATTGTTGACTCAAAGTCTGTCGGACCATTCCTCTGATAACGAAAGTCACTGCCATGTTCCTCCTTGTTTGTCAGGCTGTGGATTTTGCATGGGATTCTGTGTTTCTCCAAGCTTTCAATGATTTCTGCCACGGCAGCAAAATCATCCGATGCTATAAAGCAATCGTCGATTTTTGGATTGGTTGTTGCTGTAATAACTTCCAATAGTTTGCTGACATAGACCGATCCAGGAAACAAGGCTGATTCGCCAATGAGCTTGTCACCCCTTCGAACATGAAAGGCCACCGAGTTGCTCTGACGAAGGTCTGGAATATTGTGCTGATCCCTGACTGCCTTGATTTCCTGCTTGGCAACGTCATTAAACAGGAAACTGTCGCATGCTTCTTTCACAAAGCGATTATAGAGCTCCTCTCCGGTCGTTCCATAGACGGGAGGGAAGAATCCACGATAGCGTTCTCCAGGACACCACTGCACTTCCATTTTCTGATCTCTGTCTCTGTACAATCCAGTCATGCCCACACCGACCACCACATCCATAATGTTTGTGTGGAAGCGAGGTCGAATGACATGATCCCACTCTCCCTCACCCAGTACGGGAAACTGAGGGGTGAAGAATCCACGTAGCACTCCCGTGGATCCATCCTTCCACTTGTAGTTGTAACGAGTATCATCCACAATGAACCCCCGGCCTTTATCCGTAAAGAGGATTTTCTGTCCCATAATGTTCATGATATTGGAACAGAGTCCACTTCCTTGGACTAAGCAGATATTGGTCATCTTTCTGGATAGAATATAGTCCACATAATTGACCTGGATTTTGGGTGGTGGTGGTTTCGGTGCTGGTGACGAGACGGGTTCGTTGACAGGAGTCTTTTCTGCATCTTCGATATCAACAACTGGTGGAGTACTTGTAGTAGTAGACGGAGCAGCCACACTGCTCTCCTCCAGCACGGCAGTCTTGACTTCTACAGTGGCCTCACTATTGTGATCCACCACGGCCGTCTTGATTTCCGCGATACTGTCGCCACAAGGACCAGTGCTGGCTAGATTCACATAGAGCACAAACAAGGCAAGCATGACATTGAGGACCACCAGAATCAGGTATCTCGTGGTACAGATACCCATGGAGGGGGAAATGGCCTTTGGTTGTTGCTGTGCCTCATCCTTGACGGTCAATGGCAGCTTTTCCTCATCACTCGACGCTGTTTGCACTGGTATCGACATGGTCTTTCTTAAAATTGAAATGCCTGACTAATAAACTAAAAATCAGGTTGATTGTCTTGTATGGTTGTGGACTCGCCTTTTCGTCTCTCCATCGATTGAGGTCCTGGCGGTATTGGCACCGAGAATGGTCACTCAGCAGCACAGCAAACAAACAAGGTAGACTACCGTACCTGGTAACATCGCAACACCCATGGCGGCAGTTCAAGGTCCAAGTGAAGAAATTTCCGTGTTCGTAAAGTGGTCGTTGGTATGTATGTACCGGTATCGTACGTACTAGTACGTACTGGTAGGCACTGGTGCCTGCTTTGTTCTTGGGGCAATTGTCTTCCCCTTCTCTGCTTCAAGTTCTCTGGGGGCTGACTCGGTCATCTGTTGTTTTATTAAATCTTCTTCAGCAGCAGACCACAGCCAAGTTTGGCTGAGTGCTCGATCTTCGACCAGCGCAAACGAGCAGCCATTTTAGCCAGTGCTGTTCTGTACATGTAGTACGGCAGTGGTGGGAAGTGGGAAGTCCCAAGCCAAGTGCAAACAGATCACTTGAGTTGGACTAGATGAAGTCTTGGCCCAATCTGGAACTTGTACTGTACATACTAAATTTAGCTCCAGCCAGCCTAGTTCGTCAAACGCACAACAGCTCAGCTATGCTTGAATGGAACGACATGAAATGAAATGAAATTTAATCTGATCATGTTACTTTGTTCTACCTACTTGCTAGCTAGACATCAAACTCGGCATTGTCAGTGTAGGTGATTGATTTCACTGATCCAGAGCTATCCGCCCTGAGCAACTTCCGCAGCTGTTTCTCTCCATACAATTCAAGCTGCAACTCTTGGAATTCATCATCATCCTTCATTGCCTCACGCCTCTTGCCATCCTTCTTCTTCCTGGCAGATTTGATAATGGCAGCACCACCCATGATAATGACAAAGAGGAATACTCCAAGCAAACCACTGAGACAAAGATACAACAAATTCAATCCACTGTCTGCAGGGCATCCCTCCATTTGCTGGTCAACAACAGGGACCATACACCAAAAGTAGAAGCGACTGAAGAGGTACCTCAATGCCTTCAAGCCAGGTACACCACTGCCGGGCGAGAAAGTTGTGGAGAAGAAGATCATGAAAAGGAAGGGCATGCTACCCAGCATCTCAACAGCTTGGAAGGGAAGATTTGTGTAGAGCCCAAAGCAGATGAAAGGAAATGTCATGCTTGCACTGTCAAAGAACATGGCCACAAAGTAGTCAAAGCTCGAGAGTCCACCAATGACAGCATTCACAAATCCATATTCCAGCAATGCAATGAGGAAGATCATTGTCATTGCAAGTAGAGTCTTCAACAACTTGTTCATTCCTTTGCTTGAATGCAATAGGGCTTCTGATTCTTCAGTCATGAAGTTTCGCCAATCCACCAAACTAAGCAGGTAGGGGTTTATAGTAAAAAAGGCAATGATACCAGCTCCAACCAAAACAAGAGCAGCACTCTCATCCTTAGAGTCCCAGAATGTCAGCAGGAACATCAAAAATGAGAACATGGTGAAGGCAAAGATACCCTTGAGGGCACCACTGTTCCGAACTTCCACATCCATGAAGAACTTCAGATCAGCATTGGATGTCCCAAATTTGTAATCATTTCCTACAGAAAGTGCCATGATGGCCTTTTCACGGTCCACCTTTTCACGTTTATTGATTTTAACCTTGCTGCGGTCAATAGCTGAGACAGTGACTGCATGGCAGGGAGTAAAGGAGCAAGTGTGAGATGAATAAATTACTGTCATTTGCTCCACTGAAACTTGAACCAGTGTTGTTACTTACTGACATTATCAGCCATATCAGTCAATGCTTGGACATGATCATTGGTGACCAGCAGGATGTTGTGTTTTTCCCTCATAAGGTTCAATCGATCCACAATCCAAGGGACAAAGTCATCGGTCACCCCAGCAAATGGCTCATCAAGCACTAAAAGAAGTTTCTTCTGGTTCATGGTCCTTTGGTAGATAAGTTCAAAGAGCAAGAGTTTGCGCTGACCTCCACTGAGTCCAGCTGTGAACTCTCCAGCCATTGTTCCACCAACTTGGATGCTGTTGGCAGTCCCTTCTTTTTCATAGATATCCCAGTATGGCAGCACAGTGGGGTCAAAGTTTGGAATCTTCGTAACTGCGATGTAAGGACGGAGGTTGTGGTACTGACGGATGTAAGTACATTTGTGCGACTTGTGCACATCATTCAAGAAGGTTGTCTTCCCTGATCCAGATGAACCAACAACAATTGTAAGAGTCATGGCGTTGTTGTCTTTGTATTTTTTCTTCTTCTATTTATGGCTGTCGATGCTTTTGCTTTGTTCTTTCGTTTGATAGCCGAAGAAAGATTTGTGATGGTGCTGTTTTGGTTTCTGTTTGGTGCTGCTTGCTTGGTGCTGTTTATTGCGGTAGATGCTTTTGCTGTTGCTTGTGCTTTCTTGTTGGACTTGCAGATTTGTGAGGGGTTGGTGAAGGTGCGGAGCTGTCCGTACCGATATCTTTGCTTTTGTACCACGAGTGGGGGGTGGGGGGTCTCGTGCTGTCTGTTCCTGCGAAATCGTTGGAAGGGAGTGGAAGAACAAGGATTGTTCGAAGAATTAACGGCATGCTGAAGACACTTTGGTTTCCATTCATGCTGTTGATTTTGGGGAATTAGTGAAGGCTAAAGAAACTGGCTACAGTACAGGCGGCTTCGATTTTGTTGATTCAAACGCGCGCCACTCTTCTCAGTACACTTCTACACGAGCTCTCCTAGAATTGTACAAGAAAAGCCGGCACGCGTTTGCATCAATAAAATCGAAGCTGCTCGTATGATGGAGCTCTGGGCCTCGCAAGCTCTCAAAATAAGTCGTGTACTGTACTCGGAGGCTCGGAGGGGACGTTCCAAGAAGGAGAGCACCAGAGCTTTGAATAGCTTTTGCACTTGACTTGATGTTCGGAGCAAGATCAGGTCAGCGAAACACTTCTGTGTGGAGTGCTCTGGATCGAGTGGCTTTGGTTGGAGTGTTGGAGTAGAATCGGATACCGGTACCCCCGGACGTCATCGCTTCTATTCACCGTACTCCTCGCTTCTTTGTTTGTCTGTCTGCCGGTGCTGTAGCAAACAGAGACTGCCCCACGTGGAGAGCGGTGCCCCGACTTGTTACTAGGTAGAAGCTGCTACTTGCAGGTATGTGTTGACACGAAGGTTTAATTATGTACCGGTATGGCCCAAATGATCTTTGAGCAAGCATCCTGCGCCGTATGCCGTATCGGTATGCCCACAACTAATTCACATGGCCCTGTAGTGGAAACATCATTTCTCCCCCAGTGCGAAGTCAAGCATGAATCATGGCGCTGTGCCGTGTCCACGACGTTGCAATTGTTGTTTTCTTTTTGCTCATTTATTTGTCTACGTATTGTATGTCTTTAAATACAAAGAAAATCATCTAGTTCATTCGTTCCTTGGTCAAGCATCCATCACGAACAATCAGCTGTTCGTTGCTACCGTACTGCAGGCTCAAATTGGTTGCTGGAGGATAAAGAGTTTGGGTGTGTTCATGACTCGAAGCAACAAGGATTCTCCGTCTACTTCCACCTGTCCAACGAAGATGTGCTGCCACGAACCTGGATTGCGCCACAAATCAACGTGACGGTCAACAAGAAGTTTGTCCCACATGTGAATCTGAGTACGGTAGAATCCTACTTGTATCTCCGTGTCACTGAGTGGTTGTCGTCTCCCAAAGATGGAAACTTGAAGAGGGCCAAAGCGGACTCGATTTTGATAGACCGTTTCGTTATGGAATACCTGTGTGACCTTGCCCACAAAGGGTCCAATTAACCCTGACGTTGGCCCCGAGTCAGATCCACTGTAAACCAGTGAGTGAGTTCCTGTAAAAGGAATTCGAGCAGGTTGTGGATCCGAGAAGGGTTGGAGCTGCAAGGCCAACTGGTCCAATTTTTGACGTTCTTCCAACGGGGCACGTTTTCCAACTTGTCCCACTTGACGTGCTGCTGTCAGCAGCTCTGTAGCTAGGCGATTGCGTTCGGTTACAGAGTCTTTTAGCTGATTGTCAACTAAAGACTGCTTCCGAGTTGTCAGGGTTCTTCTGATGAATGGATACCCAGCAGCAGGCGCTCGGAAAGGATTCACTCCACGGAAAATAACGGCAACCATCAGGCCGCGCATCATGTATTTGACAATCATGTGGTCTCTTGGAACTTGTCTTTATCGACATATGAATAGCCAAGGACTGTTTCTGCCATCATCCATCAACAGCAACAACAACAGCAATCACCATGCCATCATCAAATCAGAAAATGACAATCCGAAGCTCGAAGGGGTTCGCACTAAGAAGCCATCAGAGATGCTAACCATTTGGCTCTCTTGGGATTTTCCAACTCACAACCTTAGACTACCAGCATGCACCGTACGGTACAGTCCTCACAAAACGGGAGTTGTAGCTGCTAGCTAGTACCTGGTAGTACTCCAGAGTAGCTATGAGCCGCTGATGTCTGTACCTTCTTACATCCGTTTGGATGAAAAAGATGCTTGGAAGCTCCACCTCTCCCGCCAATGCCCAACGAGTAAAACTATCTGATTATCTGGCACTCGAGTAGGCCCCAGGCGACGAAGAACCAAGCGCTCCGTATTGCCACATGTTCAACTTTCTGCAATGCAACCATTGCCTAGACTATGTCCCATCGACTAATTGAGATTACGATTGAGGGACACGTTTGTCAGTGTCCAACCACCAGGTAACCGTGCCTGCACCGGCACGGAAGATTCCAGGAGATACTCCCCCTCTAGACTAGAGCTAGAGATTTGCCAAGGCGGTGTTGAACGACAGCGGGGCCGCTCGGTGTTATTGGCTTGGGACTGCACATCTGCACTACAAACCTCCATAGCTACTAGTACCAGGTTTAGCCAACTCGCCCATATCACCCGTTGCTGCTCCTTGAGCCAGGACAGCAGCCACAGGTACGATGTACGGTAGGCGGTAGGCAAGGCCGACCGAGGACCGACAGTCGAGTGACCGCCGTGCGCCTTTGAAAGCTGAAAACGGAAAGAAAAAGAAGAGCTTGGTGGGTTTTGCAGCTGTTTTGTTCCTCCGAAGTCCGAAGTTAACAGCTTCTTTGCAATGGAGGGTTCCCGAGAAGCTTGAATAACTCTTGGAAGCGAACCAAAACTACTGAGTCGCGTGTAAAAGGGGTGAGCCTCTATTCACCTCTTCACTTTCGCGAACTTCGATACCGCTGATTTAGAAAAACAGGAGCTTTTGGGAGTTATCTGGTTCAATGCAATCTATCTTGCTCCGCTCTTACTTATACTCTTCTCCTTTCGGTAGTTGTTTGGTACCGGTTGCCAGGAAGCTTTTGTAATTCGTAATGGCGAACCGCAAGAGCTCGTTTTTCCCTTTCCCTTTTCTGTACCAGGTACTACTCCAGTAGTATCTAAAGCTACTAGTATCATACATGTACACGCAGCTGCACCGCAAGTTTCAGTGCATGAACACGTGAACAATGATGTTCGCCACCTCGAACCTCGAACAAAGTACCAGCAGTACTACGACTGTACAGCTCCAGCAGTACACGTATCCCGCAACGCTCCCACAACTCAAACCCCACCACACCACATCATACTGCGTGCAACCACAATATTCACTCAAAAAACCATAATCAAAGCAACCAACAAAAGAGTAGAAAGAAGAAAAGCGACGATGGAGGAACCTGGCTCTAGAGATTCAGCTACCGCCATGAGCGTCCCTCAATCATTACATGGTTTGGACCTCGTTGGAGGTGCTGACGCTTTTACTCAACCTGTAGCGCCTGTTTTACAAGAAGTAGCCATGGGTATCTCGGCTGATAGAGCGGTCGAGGACCCCAACAGTTGTCATACCGATACCCCCCTCTTGGAATCTGAGAGCACCGCTTTCCTTGAAGGGAGTTACGTTCCTGCTCATGGCGCTGCTATTGATAGTTCCATTACTGGACGTGACGCCGAGATACCCGACGAGATTGTGATCTCCCCTGCTAGACTCGATGCAAGTCAGAATCAGCTAAGGCTATCCGCTGCCTCCACTGCCACCATGCCGGCCAGCGTACTGGAACTGATCCTTAACACAAGGATCGGTTCTGGCCGGTTTCAGATCGAGAACGAGGAAGACGAGAAAACTATTGATACTATGGCGAAGCTGAAAGCAGGCGAAGAAAGGACCGGAATCAAGATGGATGAAGACAAGCAAAAGAAGCCGGTCAGCATGACCAGGAGAACTGCAGATGCCTTGAGGGTTTCTGGCAAATCGGCGCTAACCAAAATGGAAACAAAGCTCCTTGAGGAACTCCAAGGGACGAATACTAAAACGTCACAGGTGATACTTCAAGCTGAAGAGGAAGAGCAGGCTGCGGAGGAGAGCGGCCAGATGGAGATCAGTGTGGCTCATCAGTTAGAAAGCGGTAGCGGTACTTTTACCGCAGATGCTCAAGAACCCGGTGCCTTTGCCGTTGATTCTTCGGCTCATACAAGGGAACGGCAAGAAACCGGTACCCTCACGGCTTTTCAGGATGACAGCAACTTGGACACGGTTCCGGCTCCACCGGCGTTGATGGCGTTCAGTTCTGTCATGATCAATGGTGAGCCCGTGACGATTGCACACAGTGCCACCATTGCTACTGCTGTGCAAATAGATCATTCCGAAGTAGAGGAGGAGATCAGAGAAAGGATCTTACGGGAAGCAGTCGAGGCTGATGTTGTGTCTCCTCAGGAGGAGGAAGAAGGAGGCAACAAGGATGAAGAGGGAACGACACGATGGAAGTGGCTGGTGGGTATCTTGGGCGTGCTGTTGATTGCCGTGATTGTGGTGGCAGCAACGGTGCCCATCATGGCCAACCGTGCAGAGACCGAGGCGGTCGAAGAAGGTAGTGTGCGGCCCACAGGTTCAACACTAGAAGCAGTCCTCGAAAGAGGATTTGTCCGATGTGGTATATCAGGTAAGAGGCTCAGGCCATTATGTGCTTGTTATCGTTGGATGTCATCTAACCATACTGGACTGCTGAGGAAAGGTGATGTGCAAGGTTTTAGTCAACCCGATCCGGTGACCGGAGAAATGGATGGAATGAATGTTGACCAGTACGTGTACAGCCGTACAACCACTTGATCATGTTACAATCATGGGCTAAGACCACCGCATCCACGTCAACAAACGTCTTACATATCTGTTTGATCTGCCCTCTTGCCATTAATCTGGAACAGTTGTCGAGCGATCTCCGTGGCGGTCTTTGGCGCAACTACCAATATTGAGTTCGTCAACGTTGTGACTAAGGATCGTTTCATCAAGCTAGCTAACTGGGATGTCGATGTCTTGGCGATAACAACAACTGTTACCATGGAACGACAAGTTTTTGAGGCATCGGCGCAAACTGGGTTTCAATTCTCTGCGCCCTTTTTCTATGCGGGCATGATGTTCGGCGGTGTACCTTCGTATGTGGAGTGCGCTGACAACCTTGACAGTATCCATGGAGCTTGTCGCTCGTTGAAGGTGTGCGTCATTACCGGGACGACTCATGAGCTCCTTCTGCAAGAATTGTTCCCCGGTGGATTCGTCATTCCTTCCGTATTGGTGGACGAGATGATTGACAACTTCATGTCTGGAGAGTGTCATGTCATGGCGTCCGAAGCACCCAACATCCCAAGCACTCGCATATACGACGCAGGCTACGCGGGAGAGTACGTTCATGGGCACAAACTTTTCTCTCGCGAGCCCTTATCAATTGCCACAAGACAGGGTGACGCTGAGTGGACAAATCTAGTGAACATGGTCGTCAATACCTTTTACTTCGCAGAAGCACACAATATAACTCAAGCAAATGCTCACGAGATGGAATCCATCTTGGTTCGAGGTGAGGAAAGTGGGAGAACGATCGAAATGATGCAAGCAATTGTGTCCCATCTGGGAAACTACGAGGAGCTGTATCAACGTCATCTCCAGCATCTAATGCCTCGCAAAGGACTGAATCTTCTTTACGGCAAACACAACAAGGATCTTCAAGCTTCGAAAGGGCTCTTGTTCTCCTATCCATTTGGATCTGTGGACACTCGGGGAGAGGGGCCCATCCCGGGCAAAGCTCTTGATCGGATTCTGGCGAGAGGCCACTTGAGGTGCGGTATCCCCGTGCCTGGGAACGCGAATTCTGGCTTGGATGCAATCCTCTGTCAAGCCATTGCTGCTGCGATATTCGCGGGAGACACAGACGCTGTCGAATTTGTGGAAATTGAGGACACCGGTGTTTCTCGTCGGAATGCTCTGGACGATGGATTACTGGACATCGTCGCGGGAGTACGGGTTACCATGCAAACGGACTATCTTGGCTACACCTTCTCTCCTCCATACTATCACTTTCACTCCAATGACACGACAGGCCAGGGCCTACAAGCTTTGGGGATGATGACAACAGACGACGACAAACAATTTTCAGACTTTGTTTTCTGGGTTGTAATGACCATGATCTTCGCGGACGAGAATGCAATTGGCCCTGCAAATGTGACGGCAATCCCAGTGGTCTTGCTATGGGGAGAGGGGTTAAAGCAAAGCTTGCGCGACTGCGTCTACGCTCTGGGAACTTATGGCGACGTTTACAATCGATCATTGCAAGAAGCAGCCCCGCGATCTGGAGCCAACTTGCTGAATCAAGGGCCCCTGTTTGGTCCGCAGCAGTTCTCTGTTCCATTTTCATAGTTGCTCTGCGTACACCTCATCTATTAACTATTGCATAGCCAGCTTCGCAATGAGTTCCTTGTATGCTGTGGTTTCCATGGCTTCGAATGCTAGCAACTCTAGTAGCAAATCGATATTCCCGGCTCTGGCCTCCGCACCAACACATTTGCACTGACCGCAGAATAGGTATTGTGAGTTGCCGTCGGGTCTCGCAAAAAGCAAGATTTTGTTGCTCGGCGTGGAGTCCGTCGTTTGGCGACCTTGTTCAGGCCCCACGGACAAATAATCGTAGAAAAGGCCGTCGAGGTCTTTGCGTGGGTCCACTGTGAACGTCATGTAGCGCCCATTCCCTGAAATCTTGTTATTGTATCTTTGGTTCTGCAAGCTGCATCCAATGTTCACAAACAAGAGCCAAGCATTCTGCAATTGTATGATGCCGCCACGACGATTGAAGCCAAGATAGTACTGATCCACGAGAGAATCTAAGACGGGTTGGGCCAAGAGTTCCACAATACAACTCTCCTTGGTGTAGCCCAGGAAACGTCCAGCCTCCGGAAGTCCTTTGACGGTTGAGATGCATGACAGCTTGAGTGGCTTCTTCTTTTTCTGAACCTGTTGTGCGGCCTTCGCCTTTTGCTTTGCTGCCTGCTTCTTGGTTTCTTTTTCCCGCTTCAGCGTATCCGCGTCTCGTTGATCGGGGACAGGGATGAGCAGGGGTGGCGCTGGATCGCTTTTGCCCGTTTTCCATGTCTGTTTTGCATACCAGATCCCAAGCAAATTCTTTGTTGTTCCACAATCAATGTAATATGCTGCCTTGGGGGATACAGATGCTGCGACATGCTGTGCATCGAGGAAAGATATTCGCCATGAAACAATGAGATGAGCGTAGTTGTCGAAGAACCCATCGTGCATGGTTTGTTTGCTGCGCGCAAGGGCCTGGTGCAACAGATGCGGCAACACTGCAGCGTCCAAACAGGCATATTCAATCTGCGAGTTCGTCAAGGGTCGCTCCTGCCAGTTGGAGCACTGCTCGGCCTTGTCGAGTCGTTTCTTCAACAAATAGCATGCGCTCTTTTGCAGGGACTTCAAACTTTTGTGGGTCGACTTTGGAAAACAGCTATGGAATAGTGTCTCCATGTCCACCACGGATTGCATGGTTCGGAAGCAGGGCATGTGAGGAAATGACACGGCAAGTTTCGATATGTCTTGCCCAATCCCAAATCCTACTATGAGTATATTCGGATTCATAAAGAGAGTACTCAGGGTCTCGCACAAGACCGCCTCAACCTGTGTCATCGGTGTCTCTGGATCTTTGACCGCCCCTTGACACAGCTCTTGTAGATCGATGAGAAAAGATTTTGTGACACTGCTAAGCTGTAGTGTCGCCACAGGGTTCTCGCGTCCCCTGTCTCTTGCCGGCTTCCACTCGCAGTCCAAACCCCAGGATCGTTGTAAGAGTCGATCGTCACGGTCCTGGGAATCGTTGCCGCCCGGCAGCTCTAGAGTAAGAGAAACCTCCTTGGAAAGTATAGCGACAAGACTCTCCTCGTTGATCAAGGTCGCCACCAGCGTATCGGACTCTTTCCCTGAAGCATCGATCGTGGGCAAGTCGTTCAAGCGCAGACGAGGGAGAGACTCAAGGGCCATATCGTGTTCTTCGTGACCGGGCATGGGATCTTTGGACTTGCCTTCGTTCTGTAACTTATCACTTTCGCTTTCTTTCTTTTCCTCAACAGACTTTGAAAGAAAATCTTTGGCTGGCGGCAGCTTTGATCCCTGAAGTCTCTTGGCGCAGGTGGAATGGTTGACACGGAATCTATCGGCGCGTGATTGTCGAATTTCTTTTGTGGTCGGCCTTACACTCCTGGGCTCAAAGGATTTTGGTAACAGCTTGTAAACAGGCTGATTTGTGTGGATGGGCTGCTCGAGGATGGAAGACAACGTTCCTCGAAAGTTGTCGAGCCCAGCAACAATGTCCACACTGTAGTTCGCGGCATCAATTTCGAAACGTGGGTCTAAATCGCCATACTGCTTTCCATCACCACGCGAAACCCGATAGTTCTGAAATTCACCTCCCGCCAGTATTTGTTGGTGTTCGGTTTCAAACATCAGCAGGCACGTTTCTGGTTGTAGGTGTGTCACAGACATACTGCATGGTGTCTGCCCTTTGTTGTTGACTATCAGCAAGTTTGCGCCCCTCGAAAGCAACAGTTTCACCGCGTCGTCACGATCCTGTGTGATCGCGTAGAATATTGGCGACTTTCCAAAGTTTCCCTCTCCCGTGCTGATTACATTGACAAGGTCCAATCCGTGCTTGTTTCCAGCGTCAATAAGGAGTTCGATTGACTCCAGATCCCCTTTCCATGCTGCCAAATGCAATGCATTCTTGGTAAAGTTCCCATCGGTTCCCAATTTAACCAACTTGGAATCAATCGAGAAGGAAGATCAGCGAGACACGAGATGGAGTGTTTGCGACTAGTTAGCCAGGAACATCCAACTTACCAGTGGAAACCGTTCCCCAGCAACTTCTAGTATCTCTCTAACGATGCCGGCTCTCCCCTTCTTTGCAGCCGAGTCTCTGAGCTTCTTGGACAGCGTCTTCATGCAAACTTCCGTGCCCTCAGCACTGCTTTGTTGTTGAGGCTGCTGCTCTTGTGTGGTACCTGGGTCAGCAGTGGCAGCCATTGGAATCGCTCCAGCATCCTCCGCGTCAGCAGCAACTCCAAAGTCGTAATGCTGGTAGACGTTGCCATCTGCCAATTGTCGTTTCTCCATTCGACGCAGAGTCTCACAAGTACTCGGTAACAGTTTCCCCTGTGCCATACCACAAGGCGTGTTGCCATTGCGGTTTACAATCAATACGTTGGCACCGTGATCGAGGAGGAATCGCACAACGTCGTCACGACCTTGATTTGTCGCGTAGAACAGAGCGGTCTTTCCGTAGTTCCCATCCCCCGTACTGATGGAATTGACCAGATCTAGTCCAAACTGCGTCCCTGCATTCACCAGCAGCCGAATGGATTCCAAGTCTCCTTTCCATGCTGCCAAATGAATCGGGTTGCGACTGTAGCTGCCAGGTTCAAAGAGCTGGCGGACGGAAAAGTAACTTGCTACATGAGTGACTCTATCTGTTGTCAGGGCCCGTCAACGTAAATGGTAGCAGGGAACTTACTTGTGGGAACCGGTCTCCAACCTTGGCAATTACATCTTGAATGGTGGCAGCACTTCCCTTTTTAAGACATGCATGTCGCAATCTATTGGATAAGTACTGAACATCACCACCATCAACGACTGATTCAGAGTCTGCTGATGGGGAGAGAGCATTAGCAGCATCTTGTACTGCTGATTCGGATTCGTCTATCGGAAGTGTGTTGCTTATTGTTGCCGCTTTTGCGTTTGTGGTGGTAAATCCTGCAGTGTAAACTCCAGCATTGAGCACCTTGGCCAATCGTATCAACACTGCTGATTGGATCCGTACCGCATGGCGAAAGCTTCCAGAGCCAATGCTCAGAAAACTGCCCCCTTTTGTTGTTGTCAGGAGCGCTTCATCCAGGAGCAATACCATGGGTCTGGTATGTCCCAAAGGAGGTATAGTCCCCGACATGTATCCTGTCAATGCTTCTGCCTGGCTGGTTTCTGCCAATTCCAAGTGGGCGACTTGAAGAAGGACATTGGCTTCCTGCGCAGTCTTGTGGTGTGTGTCTGTCTCATGCTTATCCTTCGACGATGCACCGATGATCTTTGTGGCAATACAGGTTGTTGACTGAGCCTCCTTATGCTCTGAAGCAGTAGTGGTAGTCGATTCCACAGAACATGCCAACAACCTTTCCTTGAGAAGCTCTTCATCGACTCGATCTCGGTATCTTAGGGCCGTGGCAAAAAAGAAGGAATGGTCTAAATCGTTGCCAGCAGTTTCCGTCACGGTCCCTGCACTTGTGGTGGTGGGATTCTGCTGAAACTGGACCTTCCAAATGAGCGTCTTGACAGGAACGACACGTATTTGTTCTTCTCCTGAAATACATGTAGTCAACTCGCTTCTGTCTTCCTCTGCTTCTTCTACAAACTCATAATAAACAGCATCACTCCTGGGATCAACCACTGCCTGGCATAGTCGGCTCTTTAGCAAGTCCATCGTCGTTTTGGTTGACTAATGGTACCTATCCGGATAGCTTGATGCTCTGACTTGAGATGATGCCAAGGTACTAGCTACCGTAGTAGCTGTTGTCCTTTGCCCTCTGGATTTGTCAGTGTGACAACAGCTGTGACAGCTAACGTGTTTCGTCTAACCTGATCTTTACTGCACCACCGCAGCTCAAGGAGTGTAAAGGATGACCATCCGCACGTTCTGTAACAGCCTGCTGAGCTGCTAGAACATGAAATACTACAAAGCAGCTTTCAAAGCCACACCTCGCAGCAGCCCGAAGACCAAACAACCAAACCAAGAGACTTTCTTGACCGCTGCTTCTCTTGACATTACAGTATTCTTTTCTTAGTCTAGCAACAGTAGTACAACCACACCATGACCACCGCACATAGGCCTACGTGGAAGGCAGCTGTTGGACGAGCGCAAGAAGGAGGATGGACCGCAGGTGGATCCGTGAGCACGAGTATCTCCGCTCTGGACGTGGCCGCTCACACCAAGCTCAAGACACGCAGCGGACAACAGTTGATTGACAAGAAAAAGGCGCTCAAGGAGTCACTGTTGGCGTTGGAAAAAGCAGAAGCATCTTCCAGCAAGCACAAGATCGGAAAACGTCCCATTGTGGAAGCCATTGAAGCCGAAGGACGGCAAAAATTATTGAAACAAACGACGGAAGTAGACGAAGTGGCCTTGAAGAAAAAGTACGATGATGAGGATAGAGGAGGGGACGACTCGGACGGATGGTCCGATGTAGACAGGGACGCCTCAGACAAGGATAGTGATTTAGATGCCTCGGATTCAGATTCAGATGATGACGACAGCGATGATGACGACGATGACGAAGCGGCGCTGCAAGCCGAATTGGCGAAAATACGGGCGGAACGAGAAGCTGTCAAAGCCAAGGCAGAAGCGGAAGCAGCTGCAGAGGAGGAAGAACAAATGGGAGAAGCGGCTATGATTGGAAACCCACTTTTGGCATCGGGGGAGGCATCGGCAAAAATGAAACGAAAATGGAATGAAGATGTGGTCTTCCGAAACCAGGCGAAAGGAGAACCAAAGCCCAAAAAGCGGTTCATCAATGACACTGTCCGCAATGATTTCCACAAGCGTTTCTTGAACAAGTTCATTCGATAACTTGACAAAGACAAAAACAATATGCATGTCCGGAGTTATTGGGCAAGTGGAGGAACAACTCTGAACAGCTACCAAATCGAGTGCACTAATAACTCTTATGACGGTACATCACGACCCTTCCCCGCTTTTGAATGACTGTGGGATCTGACCCGTAGTGTCGTAGAGGCTGCTATGTTCGCCTGGATTCATGCCGAAATCGGGCTTTATAATCTACGCCACCTCACTGTGGCATAACTTTTTCCATCCGTTGCTATTGCAGTTCGGGTCGTGCACCCAATCGTTCAAAACAATCCGTAGCTCTGTTTGCTCAGCAGCGCCATTGTCCTTTCCAATAAACACAGTCACCGTGGCAGTGGGAAACCAAATGTTGCGATCACTTTCAGAAGTGTCTCTTTGCTCCGGGTTCTCACTGGAGCTTGACAGTGATTCCAACTCAGACCAATACGGCATTGGTGGCCACCACGATACCGGCAGCAAGCCTGTTGCTTGGAGCATCCAAACTAGACAAAGTGCAAATCGAGACAGCGTTTGGCGCCGCTGCGGAATGTGGCTGGATGCAGCGAAGAAATGGCAGAGACAGGGAGCTGGAAAAGAACGGGAACAGGAGTCGCGTCACTTTGTCGGCTTGAAGATAGATCATTTGTCTAGACAGCTTCTGCAATGGATCCCAACTTACCTGGGTTCTTTGGTTTACTCAAACTATCAAATAATGGTCAGACCAACACTGTCTAAGCTACATTCACTGCTGCGAAGAACGGTTTCAAACTTACTTGATGGCGACAATGACTCTAGCAGGTCAAGCCCAACAATCTAGCTACTGGCCAGATTCTGTAAAGGTAGGCGTTCTCTTGTCCAGCGCCAACTTCTAACGAAACTCGCACTATACAGGCTTTGCGAGGTGCAATGTCATCGTGGCAGGTAAGATAGATGTCAAGATAATGTTTTGATGGTGTAGCAATCCATTATGCATTACGGGCTACTAGCTAAAGTAAGTGACATGGCGCCAGTGGCACCGCTCCAGGGGCAGGTCGCGAACATTCAAGGCGTTCCAATCACCTTGATCCGTGCTCTCTCGCGTGGAGTGCATTCCTCGTTATGAATATATCTTACGGCACATCACTTGTGTGTGTTTGGTTGTTGTCGGTCAGCCCCCGAGTGTCGACATCATGGTCGCCCCTTCTCTTTTAACACGTAGATTACAAGCCTTCTTGCCTATCTAGGTGGATGCCTCTATTGTTGTTGCTGCCAGTGTCTCTTCCGTCACTGCCTCGACAACACTGTCCCCCGTCGATTGACAAGACGACAAGATGATGAACCATCCAAAGGAGATACATGCCATGAAGAGGACTCTCATGTGATCAGGGACACAGCTAAAGCTGATGGTTTGTGCGGGCAGCCAGACGGCCCAGTACTTGTAGAGCAGGCCTTCATCCCGAATGTCGGACAAGTACTTGTCCAATCCCTCCGACAAGGGATAGTCAAACATGACTGCCTTGATAAAGTAGACAGGTGGCAGCCACATCAGTGGGGCACTCACAAAGTTGTCGAAGAGAACCGACTCGACAACGTTCTTGAGGTCATGGTTGGTCCCAAAGAGATGAGGAAACACAATGTCGTATTCGATGTGGCACATGAGGCCAATAAAGATTCCCCCATAGATAATGTAGGCGGCATTGCGACGTAACTCAATGGCGCGTTCACTGCTCGTCCAGCTTCGTATTTGAGCGACACAGTCGGCCAGGCTGGCTTTTACACCACACGTCAGGACGGCTGCCTGCAGAGGGTAGGTTTGATAGAATGTATTCACGTCTTCTAACGTCATGGAAAGAGTTGTGGTGGTGGTGGTTGTCGGCGATGACAAAG